TCGTATTTCTGGCTGCAGAAGTCGGGGGCCGTTGGAGCGACGAGTGCCAGCAGTTCCGTACCCTGCTCCGGCTCCGCGTCCAGCGCGCCTCTCCCTTGCGCGCCTCTGCAGTCCAGGGCTGGGCGCCGCGGGTGGAGTGTGCTGGCGGTTGCCCTGCAGCGCTCCGTCGCCGGCATTGCGCTTGGAGTCCGGACCATGCCTCCGCTGCCTGGTGCGCCAGACGCATTGAGGTCATCGCGAATAGCCTGCCGCTGTGGGGTGGTGCCCAGCTTGCAGTCGACACCACGCTTGTCTCCCCCCGCTGCTGCCGGCCTCCCACGCAGGGCTGGGGGCCGTACTGTCGGAGCGGCTTGCTCGCTGCAAGACGAGCCAAAGAGCGCACATACCCCGAGTTGTGCAGGTCCAACCGCTGCGGGCTCACGGTCGTAGCCCTTGAGATTGTGGGGGGCGTTGGAGTGCCGAGGCCGCTACCTTTGTCCGCTTGCTGGCACGGTGCCGTGCGAGGTCTGCGCCACCACCCTCGTGCGCTGCTGCCATCTCGGCTTTTACTCTCCGCTGGTCTGCACTCCTCTCCTTCGCTGCCGCGCGTTCTTTCGCAACCAGCCTGCTGTCCCTGCCCCTCACCGGCACGGCCAATGTTGACGGGGATGTACCACCTCTGAGCGACAGCCTCGCCGACTCGCCTTCCCAGCCGCCGCTCGCTAGCCGTGTGGTGTGAAAGCGCTCTGCGCTTCTATGCTCCCTGCCGTAGCCTGTTGCCCTGGCTTTGGGCTTCTGCACCGGGGCCGCGCTGCTTCGGACGATTGGAAAAAAGGTCCCACGAGCGGAGCATATACTCCAGGCATCGCCTTGCGCATGGCCGAGAGCCGCAAGCGCGCAACCTACCCGGAGTTGCAGCGCGGCGGCGGCCAACGCCTCTTCGTCCTTGCTGTTGAGGTCGGAGGGCGCTGGAACGCCGACTCGCAGGCGCTTGTCCGACAGCTCGTCCGGGTCCGGGCTCCGTGTGCCACCTGCCCTCCGAGCTGCTGCCTCCACTGCCTGGACACGCAGGTGGTGGGGCATGCTGTCGACTGCAGTGCAGCACGCCGTTGGCGGCACGGCCCTTGGAGCGCCGTGGCTGGTCTCCAAATGCGCCGCTGCCTGCGAACCTGGCTTGGACCACGTGCTGGCGCTCGCTGAGCCAGCTGGCCCGAGCCGCCTCCCGCTGCGCTGAGCGCGGGACGCGCCCATCCCGATGGGCCGCACGACTCCGTCATACGCACAGCTGCCTGCTTCGCGGAAAAAAAAGGTCCGCTGGAAAAAAAAAGACGCGATCCGGTTGGGTGACGTGTTGGACCGCCCCGAGCCGGCTGCCGCCTCATTAGCTTAACCCCGTATAGGCGCCTTTAGGTCTAAGTGTTTCTGACGGTGGGACACGTTGTGCGGCCGCCATTCTGGCTCAAGCCATTTTGGCTCAAGCTCATCAAGTTGCCTCAAATTCGATCTCGTGTTGAAGTGTTTGGACCTCCTTCCTCCCTGCGCCGCATGGCCTTCGTGCGATGGGGTCTCGAATCCGCCCGAGCGGCGATGCCGACGGCCGCTCAGCTGCCTGTGGCCTGCCGCGAGGCCGCTGTGCACGCAGCGCTGACCTGTGTTGCCGGAGCGCCGCAGTACTTCCCACCCGGATGGGGCCCCTGCTCTGTGTGCTGGGGCTGGCTGTGTTTGGGGGGGCTGCTTGGGGCGTTGCTGGTCGCGCTGATGTGGAGCCGTTCCCAAGCCCGCGCCACATGCCCACCAGCGTGGACACTCCTGGCATGCGCGGCGGCCGGTGGCGAGCAGGAATTGGCCGAACTGGCGGCCTCGCTCGGGCAATCCCCCACCGACCTTCTCTGTGCCCTCCTTCAGCAAGCCACGGAGTCGCACACTGCCCGCGCCCAACCGAGCGGAATGCGCCCGCTCGCCTCCGTTGGCAGCCGGACCCCTTCTCAGGGCCCTCAGCACCGGAGACCCGCACACACGCGCGGGCCCAAGGAGCCAGTCCTGAAGGCAACCACATGAAACGTGCCCACGCGCCGCGACGCGACGCTCGTGCTTGTGCTGCGGCGCGGCCACCCGCCCCCTCCTGCCCGGAGGGAGCGAAACAGCATGGCGGCTGCAAACCTAGACCTGCCACCCTGCCCAGGCGGCCGCCAAAGCGACCGCGGCCGTGCTGCGAGGCCATTGAGGAGCAGCAGGGCGGCCCACTGAAAGCGCTTGCAGTATTTCAGGTTTTTGATGTACACAGACCTCCCCGGCATGCTCCCGGGCGTGGGCCAAGCAACGCGGAGCGTTTGCACAGCCTGGTGAACCCGCAGAGCCACCCGCAGGCGTTCCTCCTCGGCGTACGCGTTGGCGAGGCAACCAACCCGGCCCGCCTGACGATCGCGCGAGCCGCCGACATCGCACGCTGCACGCCCTCGCCCAGATGGGCCTGAGTCGCCCTCCTGCGTCTGTTGTTTCGGACGGAGAGACGCTTTCGGACACTCTCAGCGCGCGCACGCCCTTCGCGTCGCCGCGCGATGACCTGCCTTCTGCGAGGCCCGAGGCCCCGCCACCGGCGCCGCCAGGGGATGCGCACCCGACAGTGCCCGACCAAACGACGCCGGGCTATTCTTCTGCAAGCGACTGCTCTTGCGGACCGAAGTCTGGGTCGGTAAGGGAAGCAGGCTTGCCATGCCTGCACAAAGCAATTGAGATCACGTTAAGATTAAACAGGCAATGCCTGCAAACAAAAACATGCAGAAATTTGTGCCCAGCACGACGAGGCGGCAGCAGCGGCCGGAGTTGCAGAGTTCTGGATAACTGCGTTCCTTCGCCCGGCGCGCGTGGTGCAAGGCAACCCTGCCAGTACGCCTGCCCTCACGCGGAGGCTCGCCGTTTGTAGTTACACGCGACATGAGGGTGATGCCGACCGCAACCTGGACCGCTCACTTGAATTCACTGGAGGCAAGCCATTTGGCTATGACCTTGAAGGGGCTGTGGGCTTGTCGGCAGGGTGCGACAGTGAGGTGGAAAGCTATACTGTAGGCGTTCGACAGTACCGCCAGCTTCACGGCAAACACTACGCCTTCAGCGACAGTACACGGAGGGAGCATTTTTTCCTCCGCACGTTTTTTTTTTTCCGCCTGTCGAAAGCTGTCTTTTTACCGTCCTACACCGAGCTACTCTTAGCCCGCCGCGGTCCTTCGCTAAGCTTAGGGCCGCAAGGGCCAGCGGCTGTGGCCCGCTGGGGCGGCAAGGTGGAGGATGCTGTCGAGCGGCGGGCCAGAGCCGGGCTCTGGTTGTGGCGGCTGCAGCCAGGCGCCTCCCAGAGCAGTACTGGCCACGGCCTGCTGCACCGCAACTGAGAGCATGCTCCACCAACGTCTCGCCCTCGCCCAGGTCACTGTCGCCGCTGCGCGGCACGGTAGGCCTTTAGACGCACTGTAGGTCTCGCACGAAGCGTTCCAGCGGCCTCGGAACCAAGCACGACCAGCTTCTGCGGCCCGCCCCGCGTGAGCTCCGCTCCACCTCGCCGCCCCAGCGGGCCACAGCGGCTAGCCCTTGCGGCCCAGTGAAGGACCGCAGCGGGTTGCGCCCCAGCGAGGAGTAGCTCGGTAGGACGGTAGAAGGACACATTTCGGCAGGCGGATAAAGGTGTGAAAAAAAACCGTGGGGCAGGGTACTCCCAGTTGCGCAAGTCGTTGCGTTGACCCCTCAAGACATATATCAAGATCAAGACAAACTACGTGCATCTCGGGGCCCGTTCTTCACCTGTCCCCGCAGGTATGCACTTGCAGAATGTTGCAACAACGAACAGCAGCACGCAGGTTTTCAGATGAGTTGTTCACTCCCTTGGGGATGGTGTGTGCGAGATTGTGGGAGGTGTGCCCTTGCGGGAACGGCAAATGCATGCAGCGACCCCACACGTTGCGTGTGTGCAGATGGGGGAAGCATCAAAAAACGCGACATGCAAGGATTTGTGCGTGTAGGAGTATTGGCGGGTAGTGTTGCGACTACTAAGGGAAAGGCCGCGTTTTTCGACGACGTCTACATAACGTCCATGCCAGTGCGCGCACTCGCGGCCTTGCGGGCCGCGCAGGCCTCCTTGTCCTGCCTGGCCAACGTCCAGGCGCACTTTGGGACAATTCAAGCTTGGAACGCGGCGGGAAAAGAACAAAGAGGGCGATCCCCCGTGCTGGACGGGGAACAGGGCTTTGCCGCCGCAGCAGCGGGAAGCCGCAAGTTCGTGTCCTCCACACTGGCAGCCAGGCGGGGCCAACAAGACGAACTCCTCGTTCGCTTGCCCGTGCTCCAAGAGTTGCAAAGCACATGGCTGCTGCTGCCGTTGTGTGCGGCACCGCAATGCAATTAGCTTTTGCGCACCGCCACCCAGCCTCACAGAGGAATTCGCCGCGTCGCACGACACGACGATCTCGCGATGCCTCGCCGTTCTGCTGGCGGGGGGGGGAAGAACCTCTCGACCTCCCCTCCTTCGAATGGGAAGTCTGGGTCTCTCCTCGGCGAGAGAGCACCGGCAAGCGGCCTATTGGGCATCCCGGGCCAACACGGTCGGCGCCGTGAACAAAACAGGGCCCTGACCAAACCCTCGAGTTGCTGCGGCACCGAAATGTGGTGGCGATGCAGGTGCACCCGCCTCTTCCTATGCGCACGAATCAGACAGGGAACGGGTTGGTCGTTTCATGCTGTTTATTCAAGTGATAATCATCCAAGTCCAAGGTGCTGGCTCGGTAGAAGTCCGGTCGACTAGACAGCAACCTTGTTCACTACACTATTGCTTGCAACCTTCGTATCGGAAGTCAGGAGGCATGTTAGGCGCCGAGGCGCAGCAGTAACATCACCAGAGTGGAACGCCACGAACGTCTTATGCCGTTTGGACACGGCGATGTTGCAGGCACCATTACCCAGCAGCTTTAATCGAAGACCTTTACGACCGTTGTTTCGATCCTCGCGCACGTGAGCGCAGCTTCGTTCAGGAACACATGGCATTAGTGGGCCGGCATCCCGGAATGTGGTCGCTGGCGGCATCGGCCGGCTTCCGGCCACCGCGATTTCAAGACTGAACAGTCGTAGATTGTACGGCACATGGTACGGGCATGTGTGGACACCTCGAGCACTCAGGCCTGCAGCTTGACGATTCGGCGACGAATGCGCTGCTGCGGTCTTACTCAACAAAACCTGCAGGCTGGACAAGCAGCATCCAGTTAAATTAAGATGCTGCAAGATATTCCTGGGTTTCACAGAACATGTGCTTTTCTGTATACTGTTGTTTCGCCAGCCGAGGTCTGGTCTGCCTGTGGAAGCGGCGATTGAGTGCCTTCTTGAAACAAATCTACACGTTTGCGCATGATTGTGGTCCCCTGCCCTCTTCTTGCCAAGGTTCCTCGATGTGGTGGCCAGGAAGGCGATTGCCGCCGAAGACTGGTGACTGTCATATGGTTCAAAGAAATTTTGCGACTTTATGCTTGGAAGGCAGCCACTGGACATCTTAAAGATCCTTCCAATTATGTCCGATCCTGGGTCAACATACAACGAGTCAAGGAAGCCACGCACACACAGACCAGACAACTTCCGTCAACTTGAAAGGTCTGCGCGACCATTGCGAGAGGCTATGTTCCCCAGGCAACGATGTCCGGACATGGTGGTTGTGCTTGGGCTTATGAGATGTGTGTTGCTGGAGGCTAAGTTGCCATCGTGGCATGGGCAGGCGAGCTTCGAGGACACTCTGCCACACTCCTAGGCTGGGTCGATGTCGTTGGTACAACTTTCGTTGCAGGCTCCACCACCTGCAAACGCTGTGGTGCTGGTTTTTGCCTCAGCTCAAAAAGTAGCGGCATCGTGCTGGTTTCAAGCACTTACCTCGAGACAGCGCCGCCGTTTTTTCATTCCCCGCTCCTTCAGGTCTATGCTGTATGTGTGATGGTATGCCGTCCTCGCAAAAAAATCCTCCTGCACACCTCCCGCAAAACACTAAAATGGTTTACATGAATCGAGTCTAATCTTTGCGGAAACGAAGAATGCAGCTGAGCTGTATTAGGGTGGTTGGCTGTCAGCTGCACGAAATGTGCAGCACATTGCACATTGGTGGATGCATGAGCGGTTGGTGGAGATAATCAGTTTTCGGGATCGACAGAAGCAAGAGAACACGTGTGAGAGCCCATGCGCTGAACCTGTGTTCACCGCTTTCGTAGGTGACGTCTTCTCCTTGACTATGCCTGAGGACACGGATGTGGCGGCATCGCGGTTACAGTCCACTGTTGGCATGAGGAAAGCCGAGCAGGATCGGGTCACGTCGAAAACAATAACAAGTGCAACGGCGAAGTATTTCGCACCGGCTCTCGAGGCTGGCATAGACCTCAACCATGATGCTCTCAATGTGGGCCCCTTTGTAACGCACTTTGCTTGCTTTTCTGCTGTGGTCACATGCCCATCAGCAGCGATACAGGCTCTGTTGCGGCTGCCCACGCAGCATGCCTCGCAGCTGCTTGAGCAGGTCGGCACGAAAATGACTATGAAGCTCGGTCATGCGCGTGACAGTATGCCGAGGTTGTTGAGAAGAAAGGGACCATAAGAGACTTGTCTGGACCTTGTGGGCGTTTCAGCTCACACCTCCGTTCAGTTCAGCGCACGTGTCTGGTTCAGTCGCAGGTCGAACTATGTCTGTGCAACTGTGGCGCGGGGTTTCCACCCAAAGGACAGGCCACTCAGGCAAACATGCGCAACTACATGCACACACGTGCGGGCATGCAAGAGCGTGGTGCGTGGAAGTTGCTGGAACGCTGACCCAGTCAGGAGTCCGCAGGCACAGTTTGGTCAGGGTTGTTGCGGGCCCGGAGTTGTGGAGTGCAGTGACTGCGGTGTAGACTCGTCGACTCGTCGTCCACTCGTCGACGCTGAGGCCGAGCCCCGGCCCTTGCGCTGAGACTGAAGTTCCAGGTCGCGGTTCAGCAAAAGAATCAGCAAGAACGCGAGAGTGGCACAGGTAGTCAGGTCGGGCCAGTCTCAGCGGATTAGCTTTTGTTCCTTGCAGGCGCCAAAGCAAAGGGCAAGGGTCAGGGTCTCGCGGGGTCCCACATGTTTTTCAGAAGTGGGATTGGGAAGCATTGACAATTGCAGCGTTGTTTTTTGGTTTGCACCGCCCAGGTAAAGCCACCATGGAGAGCAAAGGGATTGAGCTGGTACTCGGCCTGGTTGAGTGCTCGCGATTCTGTGAACAAAGAGGCTCCTGCCATGTTTGCTTGAAGGCTCAGCAGACACAGCAGACGACATGGCAATTCGCAGTCAGATTCTATTTAAGTTGAGAGAGCCAATGGAATTCCATAGAAGCGGCCCCGTTTTGTTGGAATCGGGCTTGTTTTGTGCTTCAAGCCCTGCACTCAGAATTGTCGTGCTGTGTGTTTGGTGGTTCAGCTGCTTTCCGGAGCATCACTCATCACAAGGGCTCTTTTGGCTCAAAGCAGACGCCCAACATGGATACCTTCTGAAACCGGCCCCAACAGGCAGCAGAATATAGAATGAGAGAGGAAGGTCAGTGGATATGAGCCACCAGCTTCAGAGCTCATGCTCGCAGGTATGGAAGATGAGGTTGCGAATGCAAAGTGGAATGTGTATAGCCTGCAGAGGAAACGGCAACAGTTTGCGGCAGCAGCCCACTGCAAGTGAATCCATCACAGTCTTTGGCAGGACGCTGGCAGGGGACTTCCCTTTGTCTCCCTGCATCACTGCCGTGTTGTTCGATTCTTGCTTGCACGCGCTTGTGCCGAAGGCCAGCTTGGAAGATGTCTCGTGTTCGTACGCGTGCGAGAGCTCATCTGAGGATTTTATGTTCTTCGGAATGATCGGTCTTGCTTGGGCAGTCACGCTGGTGACGCAGCCCACTTTCGTGTATGACAACAACATTACACGCCGCTCGACGAGTCAAGTATAGGATGGGAGGGGGGGGCCATTAATTACGACCACAGAGATTTAAACCTCGATGCCGAGGAATGTTCAAATCATACAACGTTTGCATTGGCTTGGATTCTTGGCCCGCCCGACCCGTTGCAGCTGCGGCCTTTACGCTGTGTGTGCCGGTGGCCGGTGCCTTAGGGCAGTGACTCCTCACCTCTTGTGTCTCTACGTCGATGTTGTGTGTGAGAAAGATGCGGCGACCGCATGGCTACACCAGAATTCCCCACTAGGAGCTGAAAGCTTCCCAGGTCTGTTTGACGGCAGCGCTGCATGCAACACGGCTGGATATTCAAATTTCATCCGCGTGGCGTGCTCTTGGCTCGAGCTCTTGCTAGGCTTTCAAGGCGCACCATGACGACGGTGGGCTCAAACTTTTGAGAAAAGGATGTTTGCTAGCCACTTGCCAGCAGCATCTTCGGCAGTTGGCGTATGCCAGTAACATGATAAGGACCAACGCCACACCTGTTTTCGCAGGTTGGGGCAGCTCTTGGCAATGCAGCAATGACCGTCTGCATTGCTGTGCCGCCAGCCGCTTGGAGCTGCGAGACAATCAGCCTGCGTCTGAAAACCATCTAGACGGTAAGGACGTGCATGACATCTTTTTTTCGGCCGGCTCAGCAGACGGACTTTTCATGTTCGAGATTCCTGCGCAGCGGGTTCACGCCCGAGGACGATTACATCAAATGCATGATACACACCCTCGGGTTCGCGTTTACTTTGTTTGGTCCGACTCTCAGACAGTAGTTAGTTCGGCACTGGTGCCTCGCAATGCATCGGTGGTCAGGCCAAGGCATCTTCAAGACGGGTCTTATCGTGGAGTACTGGCTTCTTTGCAAGAAGCACTGGCCGCTTGGAGTCTCAAGTCGCCTAAGCTTGCATGGCCACCGATCACTAACCACGAAGCCTTTTTTTGTTTCCTGGCTCAGGGATGCAGGAATCTGGAATAGAGACGCTCTGCTCAAAATGCTGGAGGTGATGTTTTTTGTGCCATCTTTTCGGCAGACTATGTATGTCTGGTATCGCAAGTTTATGGCAAAGCTAATTCATAGCCCATCCCAGGTGTATTTCGTCACACTGGTGTCGCATGCATGCGTACTTGTGATGGCGGTCGGCTTCCTGATCTACCTGCTGCAGTTGAAAGACTACCATCCCATTATTGCTAGGATACAAGGTTGGCTGGCACGCCCTTTCAGAGATGGTGGCCACAGCGCTGATTGCTTGCTGAAGAGTCGTGTGTCTCGCGAACAGCTTCAGCAGGTGATCGCATACCTACCGTGTCAGAGGGTGGTGTGCCGGTGGCGGGAGCCTGAGTTGGCTCTACAGTCCTCCTGTCGCTGGTTGACCGTCATACGAGCATGTGACCAGTCGCCGGCTTTCCGTGCTGTTCCCTTCCACGGTCGCCTATTGTGCTCCCGACTGACGCCCACCGAGGTTGGTGCTTGGAAGGGCACTTTTCCTTTTACTTGGCCGGTGGCATATCTCGTCGAGCCTGATGCTCGCCTGAGAGCAGAGCCTGCAGAGGCTGTCGCTGTCTTTCACTGCCCCTGGTGCCGAGTGTTCCAAATCTTAAGTGGCATTCCCAAGCTCAGGATGGGTCAACAGTTCCCATCACGACTGATGGTACTGGGAGCCATGGTGGCAAGGTAGGTGATCTTGTTTTGGTGGTTGGGCTATCAATAGGCAGTGGGCCAGACTGCCGAAATCAGGAATTTCCTGATGTGTGTCACTTTCCTCGCTCCGATCATTGAGGCACCGACGGGCATGAAAGTTGACGTTGAGTAAGAGCAGAAGTAATCACAACACATGTGGCGTTGCTGTTTCTGAAAAGGCTTGACCGACGTGTGACAGACTGAATTGCCAGGTCCTGACTGTTCCGCGCAAGCTGCTGTCTCCAGGAGTCAGCATTGCATATGCCCCCATGCGCAACTTAGATGTTTAATGCTCTGCCTTTTCGGCTGCTTCCCAATGCGAACCAGCTGAATGACACAATGCTGCTGCTCTCTCGTGTCACCCGTCCGCATTAGTTTACTATGTGGCAGCCTGTTCCCCACAGGCGAGCACAGCCTGATCCTAGAATGCAAGTATGACTTACTCCGCACCGGGGTGGTGCATTGTACAGGAGGAGATCTGAAAAAGTTTGCAGCAGCTAGGGTCGGCCATGTCGGCTGAGCCTCTATGCAGCCTTGCCCAGGTGCGCCCATGTTCAATCGTGGCTTGCTCGCTCAAGGCAGCAGCGAGGCATCAAGCAAGTAACTACCTTGTACGCCAACGACCTGTCCATGGTACATCCTGCTTGTGTCAGTGCATTCCAGAATCGTCGCTTGCACCTTGGGATGGAACTTCTTGGCTCTGTCTGCGGAACAGGTGTGAGCCAGTGTAGATTGGGTAGCTAGGCCAGCTAGGCGCCAGTGAGTGGAGTCATGGGCCTCCTGAAGGTTGGAAAGCCTTTACATTGGAACGACTCCCTGGAGCATTGCCACTACATCCGTCGTCATGGGGTTCTTCAGTTCATGGCCAACTACAGACGTCTACGCCATTTGGCAAATGATCGCCTCTTCTATGGTGACGAGATCGAGTACGCATTGTTGAAGATTGACCCTGTCAGCAAGAGAGTGCAATTGAGTTTGCGGGGACCTGAGGTCATGGAGGGCTTGCGGAAACAGGAGCAGGACATGAACGCCTTTCGAGGTTGTGCTTGGCATCAAGAATACGGTAGCTGGATGCTCGAGGGTACTCCCAGCCTTCCATATGGTGGCTACACTATGAGTCTTGTGAGTGTCGAGCAGAATATGCGGTTGCGCCGGGGAAGGCTGCTTTCTGTCTTGCGGGAGGACGAGATTGCTCCGACCCTGGTGACCTTCCCATTGATGGGCGTCGGAGATTTCGTAGATCCCTCAGCTCCACCAGGTGGCGAGGCATCCGAGTCGGAGTTCGTCCCGGACACTTGCATCAACCCACATCCAAGGTTCGCGACACTCACTGGCAATATCCGCCGACGAAGAGGCAGCAAGGTGGACATTCGCGTCCCGCTCTTCAAGGATGTGAACACGAAGGAGTTCGAAAAAGAGGCTGCGCCAGACATCCACATGGATTGCATGGCCTTCGGCATGGGCTGCTGCTGCCTTCAAGTCACATTTCAGGCCAGCGACATCGAGGAGTCGCGGCTCCTTTATGATCAGCTTGCGGTGCTCGCCCCAATCATGATGGCGCTCACAGCTGCAACGCCCGTAGTGAAGGGCCGACTGGCAGCCACTGACGTGCGGTGGAACATCATCAGCCAGTCAGTAGATGACCGCACACCGGCTGAGCGCGGCGAGGGCGAGTCCAAACCGGAGCCACGTATGGCAGGGGATGGTACTCGCAGGCAAACCAAGAGTCGGTATGACTCTATCTCCTGCTACATCCACCCCGGCTCAAAAGCTTACAACGACATCGCTTGTGAGATCGATGAAGAGACAGAGAAAATGCTTTATCAGGAAGGAGTTGATGAAGCACTGTCCAAGCATATCTCTCATCTCTTCACTCGCGATCCACTTGTGGTCTTCGACGGCCATGTGGAGCTGGATGATGACCAGTCAACCGATCATTTCGAGAGCATTCAATCGACAAACTGGCAGACGGTACGGTGGAAGCCTCCGCCAATCCCAAGCAATGCTTGCTCTCCCCACATTGGCTGGCGGACAGAGTTCCGGTCAATGGAGGTGCAGATGACAGATTTCGAGAATGCAGCTTTCACTGCCTTCATCGTCATCGTTACTCGAGCAATTCTAGTCTTCAACTTGACCCTGCTTTGCCCGTTGTCATTGGTAGATGAGAACATGAAGCGCGCTCACGGAGTTGATTCTGTCCGTCGAAGCAAGTTCTGGTTCCGGAAACACATTCTGCCCGATGACACCGACGACGTGATGCAGCAGCTCTGTCCACAGCAAGGGCCCAAGGCAGAATCCAAGTCTAGTTTCGAGGAGATGACCATGGACGAGATCATGAACGGCAAGAGCTGCTACTTCCCCGGACTCGTGCCCTTGTGTTATGCCTACTTGGAGCACATTGGTTGTGACGAGAATTCTTTCAAGAGGCTGGACCAGTACCTGAAACTCATCAAGGACAGGGCAACTGGAGAGCTGATGACTCCCGCGACTTGGATGCGAAGCTTCGTTCACGCCCACAAAGATTACAAAATGGATTCCGTAGTCTCCGAGACCATCGCTTACGATCTCGTCCATGCTTGCAGTGATATCGGTCTAGGAAAACGGCCTTGCCCCGAGCTGCTTGGAGAGGTCCAAATCGAGCCGGTCTTGAAGGAGGGCCACTACGAGACCCCACTCTTCGGGGAGAAGCTTGGCCCAGAAGATCGACGAGGCCTGCTTCAGAAGATCATGTCTCGAGCTGCCCAATGTGATGGGACCTTTTCTGCTCCTTCCAGCGCTCATATGCGGCGCCAGAGTAGCGGTGCAGTTTCCGGCCTGGATGCGGTAAGCAGACAGGGCAGCATAGAAATTCGAGAACATGGAGGCTACGTCGGCTAGGCCTCTGCCTCTCTTCATCCAAAAACCAGCACGCAATCTAACTCCGAACCCGGAGGTGGATTCGACTTGGGTGGCATAAGTTCATCGATTGGAGCACCACGCATCTCCATGCCCTGAAATGGATTGCTTCAATGTTGCCTTCAGCAGAGTTTGCAGGCTGTGCCAGGTCTGTGAATGTTTACTCTCACTGAGCTTGTTTGGATATCGCATGCGGTGCGTCGTTCCCAGCATTCCCAGAAGGCACTGGTCGATCCTTCGGACTCGAGGCCCGCACGTTGCTGAGCTTCGCCGCTGTCTTGCCGCGTTGTAAGCTGGAAGTGCTGGGTTGCGGGTTGCAAGCAATACCGTTTTAGTTGCCAATCTTTCATCTTTCAACCTGCAGCCTTTGCTTTTGCCAGCAGCTTCTGAAAGCAACCATGGCGCCAAAGCCAAAGCCGCGGTGCTTGGTCATCGGCGGCTCGGCTTTGAGGATCTTTTCAGCTGAAGTTGGTGTTCCTGTTGGTCAGACAGGCCACTGCAGAATAGCTGCTGACAGACGGAAGCAAGAGAAGCTACATAAGTTTTCATGTCTGAAGGCCTTCTGCTCAGGTTCGCAGTTCACCGGAACTTTCTGTGCGCGGGAGCTCAAGAGCAAGTTCTATGTTACGGTGGTTGACGCCAAGGAGTATTTCGAGTATACGCCAGGCATCATGGGCCGCATTTGCCCTGCACTCCCTCCGCCCGTGGACTGTAGGAATATGCTGTCATATGTGACACTGATACGTTTGTATGTGTTGTGTTTGAGCTTCCTCAGGCGTTCTGCGGGCCTTCGTGAAGCCAGCGCACTGGGACTCCCTGACTTTCACCCTGCAGCCGGTGTTGGAGCGCAAGATGGGGGTGAAGTACATCTGGGGAGAGGTTGGGAGCTAGGGCCGCCAGGGATCGCTAGGTTGTGTGGTACTTCGAATGCTTCGAGGCCGTTCTTGTGCAGCTTGCATTTTGCGGCCACTCTGTAGGTGAAGGAGTTGAACGGTGAGAAGAAGACTGCCAGCATCAAGACCATGAGCTCGAACAGTGTGGATGAGATTAGCTTTGACTACTGCCTCATCTGCTCGGGCTGCAACTTTGGACCCTTCAAGCCCATGGGCGAGAGCTTGTGGTTTCCGACGGTTCATGAGGAGGGTAGGGCAATAAGTGATTGGAAGCACATCGATGAGCGCTTTCTGGAAGGCCGCCGTCGCCATGTCATAGAAGAGTACCACAAGCTGCAGGATCTGAATAAGAAGAAGGCCACCATTCTGGTCGTGGGTGCCGGATTCATTGGAGTGGAGTGGGCAACAGAGCTTGAACACTTCTTCCCAGATCTCAAGCTCACCATCATCGACTTCCTGCCTCGCTGCCTTGGGCCACTGCCGGACAGTGCGGCCACGTATTGCTCAGAATATATGAATGCTTGTGGGATCAAGGAGTTCTATGGCAGCAACTATGGCTATGACCCCAAGAGTCCAGACTTCTGGAAGAAGATCGAGCTACCAAACGGTGCCGATGAAACCTACGTCTGCATTGGTGTGAAGGCCTCCAACTACTTCATGCCCAAATCCACGCTGTCAGACAAGGGCCCCGGTGGAGGTGGTTGGATCCATTTCAACAAGCACCTGCAGGTCACAAAGAAGCCCAGCGAGGGTGGTGGCGTGTGGGCTGATGGCACAATTTTCGCGATTGGGGACTGCAACTACGGCTGCATCGGCGAGCCAGGCAAGTGGGAGATGCCGCCGGTCCCCAAGATTTCGTATCCGGGCGAGGAGCAGGCGTATCATGCATGCAAGAACGTCATGAAGCTCCAGAAAGGCAGCAAGAATTTGATCTCAACCTGGTGGCCTTGGGGTGCCGGCATGTTTTCAACAAGCCTGGGCCCTCATGATGCTTGCTTTGTGATGGCTGCCAACGAGAACAAAGGTTCCGGGTACATGGTGAACTGGTGGATCCCTGCAGCCCTGCAGAAGGAGATCATTGAAGCAACGAAAGTTGATGAGTGCCGCGACGGTTGGGTTGGTGTCCTAGTATGGCACTTTGTGCACCATATGCCTGTGAATCTCTGGGGCCGCGGCCCTTGGTTTGTTTAAAGGGGGGCAGTTGCATGCCTCAGGCATGGCAGTCGCACCCAAGTTTTTCGTTCTTCAGGCTGTAGGCTTGCAGGCGTTTGTGAGCAGAGCTTGTCGTTCACCGCATGCGAGGGACATAAATAAAGGAGAGCCCGCGTTCTGCGACAGCTTGCTTTTCGATGGTGGAGCAGCGATGATTCACAGCTCACCGTTAGGAGAAGAAGCCATGCTAGGTGAGTCGTGTTTCGGTCAAGACTTGAGTCATGGTAACTCCAACGTGTGCAGCGTAGTTGCCGCATTGCCTGAGTGGGTGGCCCTAAGCAATAGGCCCGAGGCACATCATTGCAATTGCAAAGAGGAGGTGCCTGCGCAGCACGTAACGTCTCATCGATGGAGCCTTCGGTGGCTGCGGTGCCTGTAGCTGAAGATGCCGGGCTTCCTGAAGGTGTGTGGAAGGAGACTCTTTCTGAGGCCGATTGCGCCGCCCGGCCAAACGCTGGTGATGAGGTCCATATCCATTTCAGAGGATGGTTGCCAGACGGGACGGAGTTTCACAACACTCATCTTCAGTCCGGTGATTTTCAATTCACGCTCGGCGAGGGCGAGATCAACAGGGGCCTGGATCTTGGAATTGCAACCATGTGCAAAGGGGAGAGAGCAAAGTTTACTGTAGGTCCAGAGTTCGCATACGGAGACGGCGTTCCTGGCAAAATCCCGCCACAGGCAACTCTAACATTTGAGGTCGAGCTGCTGTGGTGGAGAAGGACGAACTCCCTGACTTCTGACGGAGGTGTGGTGAAGGTGGTTCAGGTAGAGGGTACCGGCTTCAAGAAACCATATCCCGGGTGGACGATCAAACTGCGGTACACCGGGTATGTCGAAGGGGCCGAGTATACGAGAAGTCCGGCAGATGGAGTTGAAGCCAGCGTTTCAGGGCCGAACCCGCTGGACCTGCCGGAGAAAACCTGGCAACTTGTTGTGATGTCCATGTCGCAGCACGAGAAGGCCACCGTCACATTGGCGCCGCAGTATGGCTACGGCGGTTGCAATCGAGCGTTCGACTCCAGAGTGCCGCGCGACGCCACGGTGACGCTGGAGCTGGAATTGTTGGATGTGTTCCTCGTGAAGGATTGTGGTCTTTTCCAGAGATGTGGAGAGAAAAACTTTCCACGGGTGATCAAGAGGCAGCAGATGGATGGTGATGCGTCCAAGAAGCCAAACAACCTGTCCCAGGTCTCGGCAGTCGTCAACGGCACCTTGGCAGGCACTGGCCTTCTAATTGAGGCTAACTAGCGGCTAGTTGAGGTATATGAATTCCCAACCTGTCACAAGGCAAGCAGGTGATGTGGGAATTGATTGCTGGAAAACGCTGTGAAGCCGTGGAATGCGCTGTGCTGAGCATGTCCAAAGGCGAGAGGCGGCTTGCTTCAAGAGACGGCGCGATAAGATTTGTCTTGAGATGAGATTCTTCGGCGGGATTCTTTCAGGTATAATTCAGAGATAAGGTGCTTTTGAACCTGCTTGTGCCGTGACGGAGGTGTGTCGTTGTGGCAGAGGATCCGGCGATGTGTCAAGACGACGAGCTGGGCCTTTGTCCTAGTAGCGGCCCCGTGGAAATCGAAGTTGAATTAACCGACTTCCAGAGGACAGCTCGTGCTGGGCGATGTGTCAGCTTCACAGAAGCCATCGACAGCGTGTCAGTACTTGTAGGTACATCCCGGCAGTTGTGAGTTTGCAAGCGCACCTCCTCTTCCTGGCCCCGGTGAGGACTCCGGACACTTGGGACCTCTTGCCAGTGCAACGAGTCGAGAAGGGCAAACAGCTGAAACAAAAGGGCGCGGACTTCATGAAAGCCAAAGACTTTCGACGTGCTTGCTGGGTGTACCTGGACCGAAGGTCTTACACTTGCTTAGCGGATGGGTCTGGGCCTAGCTGAGGTACAGGTCCGTGCAAGATATGATGGGGTACGTGGACGATTGGCCAGAGGACACTACAACTTCACGCAGCAAAGCATCCTGAGTCAGCTCCATATCCTCGAGGAGCTACGCTCAGCTGGAGAGGAGCTTCGCCAGACAAGTCGCAGCAACGAAGTCATGGCTTGGCTGAAGCTCGAACAGTTCCGCGACGTGGTGGACCTCTGTACTGCTACCTGTCTGCAGGAATGCTCAGTGCATCGCTGCACTCGCAGATGTTTCCCAGTGGCGAGTGTAACATGCGCTGGATAGTTGAGTGCTGTAAGCACCTCTATGATGCGAAACATGTCTCACCGAGGAGATTCTCAATGGAGGCATGGCAGTTTCTAAAGCATGAAATGGAGCATTTCGGTAAGTACAATATTCGATGGGCCGCTCCGGGCTTGTAGAGCATGAGGCGGAATCAGTTCGCCAGATCCCGGCAACGTCAAGGCACTGTTTCGGCGAGGTGTTGCGTGGCTTGTCACGTCTAGGCTCAAGATAGCTGAGGCGTTTCTGGGGCTTTGCCACGGCCTAGGCACCTCAGCATAGGAGAGCCAGAGAAGGCAAAGCGTGACTTCCTTTCTGTGCTGGCGCCGGGCTGAGTCAGCATGAACTATGAACTCCCATTTGGCGCGAGCCCGCACTGCAAAGTGCTGCCTTATCCTGTTAGGCGCACGACCCGCAAAACGCAGAAGCGAGTCTCGGCTTGGTATGGCTTGGTGCTTGCGGCTTCTTGCGCGTGTGTGGCTTTGTGGCTTCTTGTGCCTCGAGGAAGCAGCAGCTCGCCAGGGCGCGCTCCTCTGAGAAGGACCAGGCGAAGGAAAGCCAGAGCTTGATGAGAGGAATGATCAGCACGGAGCTGAGTCACGTTCCGATGGGCTTCTCTGCTGTCCCGGCGCAGCTTAGGTGAGGCTGGGAAGCTGGACTATCCCGTGGGCTACACCACTGCGGAAGGAGATCGGGAAAGACAGCGTGACGCGATGTTGGACACAGTCGACCAGATCAAAGCACAAATGCCTCTCACATTGTAGCGATGCGGTGGGCGCGTTCTAGGACGACAACTACGGCAACGGATGAGTTCAAAAGATCTTGCAAGACTTGCAGGGCATTCGAGCGCAAGTCCCCGTCGGAGACACACTCATCGACGACGCCCGATCCAGCTTCGTCTCCACTTAGTATCCGTGCGTGCGTGACAGAGCCAAGGAGGTGAGACGACACATCAACTGTTTCAAGTACACCGAGCCTCGATCGTGTGCAATGAAAGCTTGCTTTGGGAAAAAGATCTCGTTTTCAAGCAAGGAAAGCCAGCTGGGCCAGAGTCTGCAAGAGGAGTTTCGCATGGTTTCCGAGAATCCCGAGTGCTACGCCGAGCTTCGTGTGTGGCCAGGCCATGGAGAACCAGGAAGCAGCTGTTTCAACGATCGCATCAGATGGCGAGCAGGACCCTGTACCCAGGATTGAACACGGCAACACTGATAGTGGATAGTGCCTGCAAATTGACTCTGATGCTGTCACCGGCCGGTCTCGCACGCCCGTCACAGAATCTTTGTCGAAGTCAAGGCGCCAATCGGGCTCAAAGTGTTGAGAAGCTGTCAGCTCGGCAAGCCTCGGCAACGTTTCTCCAGAGGAATATTTTAGTGACGCACTGTAGCACGATGTTAGTCGAGAATGCTGCTCAAGGTCAGCACGCCCCCCTGCTCTTTTTTAAAAGGTGTCCCGACTGCAACTGCCAGAGACTCACCGGAAGCATGGCATGGATGGCGGGAGGGCCGCAGCCCACTGGAAGCGATGCAGCAGAGCGTTGCAGGCCCTCGAGGATTGCATTTGCCATGGTTTACCCTAGCCTCATCGTCGAAACTTGCTTTTGTAACCAAGCACCAATAGTTGCTCTGCAAGAACACATCCTGGCGGTTCGAGTGTTTAGAATCTGGTTGAGAGGTGCTGGAACTGGTCCTGGAGACGCCGGGGCCCTCGTCTTGGTCTGGCCTTCCTGCAGAAAGGCTGGTCTCCGCTGCTCATGCCGTGGCCCGATGGCATAGGTATGCCAGGCGGACCGACACGGCCAGGGATCCAGAATGGCTGAAGTTGGCCTCGCTGATTTCGGAACGTCGAAGAGAGCTGCAACCAGGCAATCTGGCAGCAGCTGCTCGGCTGTAAGCTGGAGGGAATCGGCTGCTGACGCGAAGATGTCGCCTTGAACTAGCGCTCACCTTGCCGAGGCTTGTTGGTCCTTTGCCGCCACCTCCACGGGAGTACTTAAGCCTTCGCTCATGGAGGCCGCCGTCGACCAAGCGGACAAACACTCTGCAGCAGACCTTGGGCGACTTGCCTGGGCCGCTGCGCAGCTTGCAGATGCCTCTGCAGCCAGGAACGCCATCCATCGCATTCTCGACGTGATGGTGCAGAGAATTCGGGAGCCTCAAGTAGGAATACTCGAAACTTCGCAGGTGCTTTGGTCCATGGCCCGAGTGGCTGTGAGAGATGCCTCCGCTGCTGTGTCAGCCTTGAGGCTCAAGGCCATCCGTGAGCTTCCGACCTGTGACAGCCGGTACTTGGCGAACTTGGCTTGGAGCTTCGTGAAATTGAGCTGTGCAGATGGACCTCTCCTGAAGCATTTCGCTACTCATGCACAAGGACGTGCTCATGATTTCGGTCCGCAAGAGCTCTCCAACACCCTGTGGGCTTTTGCAGCCGCAGCGCCGGCAGCGCAGGTCCAGGCGTTCCGGGACGACGCTGCCAGCCGCGCAGTGCAGGAGCTCTTTGCGAGTGCCGGAGATATCCAGCAGACCTTGAGCGGCCAGCACCTGGCGAACATCTTCTGGGCTGCTGCCAGGCTGAACCCTGTCTTAGAGCATCCAGAGCCCCTAGAGCCCGGACAGGGGCCATGGACTCCATGGACTCGGACCCGGCCGGGTTTCGCTTTGGGAGCCGTGGCACGGCGGCGCGTGGCGGAGCTGGCGCCCCAGCACCTCGCCGCGGTGGTCTGGGCCTGCGCGGCGGCTGGCGGGGCATCGATCCAAAGCAAGCGATCTGGAGGCCACCGGGATCCGGAGCTGCTGGCTGCACTCGAGGTCCGGATTGTTTGCAGAATGAGCGCAGCTCGGCTTTGTTTTGGGAGGCTCTTGACCCAGTCTTGGCACAAGCTTGTTGTTGAATCGTGCCTGCTTTAGGAGATGTCCGCACGAGCGCTGGCCAACATTTTGTGGGGGTTTGCGACTTTGGAGTTCTCTGGAAGCCCACCTGCCCACGCAGAGCTCTGTGCGGCTGCCGTGTCCCAAAGCCCGGAGATGTCTGCTCAAGAGCTCTCCATCACCGCGTGGTCGCTCGGAAGCCTTCGAGCAGTGGGCCACCTGAAGGACCTGGCAGCTGTGCTGAGCACGCGAGGCTTGGTGCCCAATCTGCTGGCTGCCAATGAGATTGCCAACCTGGTTTGGGGCCTTAGTCATGCACAGCTCCACGAGCCCGTTCCTGCTGGAGTCCTGGCTCTAGTTCAGGATTGTATTCAGGAGCTGGCCGAGGCGACAGACACTTCGCCGATCGACCTCCGTGCTCTTGCCATGCTGGCTCGTGGCCTGCTGAAGCTCCGCCTCCACGACGAGTTTGGTACCCTCCTAGACCAGGCACTTTTGAGCATACCCGAACTCAGCCCGGAATCTGGGCCGTATTTCTGAATGCCATGTGCGGTCTTGTGAAAATCTTTTGGTCTTTTCGGTGGTAACTCATGAGCAGATGTTGCAAGCAAAAACAGGCAGCATAATGCCTTGGTTGCTCTTAGTCCGTTGGGAGTCCGCTTGTCCGGGGTCGTGGTGGAGTTTGCTTGGAATAAGCTTGGGAGCCGATTGCAATCTTCGAGGCAGTTTAGGGTCCGTCAGTGTGCCGAAGCGGACCCAACATCGACCCAAGAAGGACCAACGGACCCACCATGTCACGATCCGACACGGTTTCTTGACTGTCGTCCCATCGTACCACCTGGCACGTAAGAGGTGGGTTTAGGGTATGGGAGCCCTTGTCATGCCGAGGAGTTGGCCAGCGTTTTCCTGACTGGGGCAGCGGAGTTGGGCGCTCGCCGAGGGATTTGCGAGCGCCGCATCTGGGCACACCTGGGCCTCGACGGACATGTGCGGTGGCCTTCAAGGGCCGTGCGTGAGGCAGAGTTGCTCAACTTTGTGAAGTGCTTTGCTGCTAAAGGCAACGCGGAGGCCGTCCTCTCCACAGTGGAGGCTTTCTGCGAAAGCAGAAAACTGTGGCTCAAAGTGGCTGGTGGTGACAAGGCGCAGGTGCTGGAGCAGGTGGTGGAGACCCTGCGGCCGAAATCGGTCTTGGAGGTTGGCTGCTATGTGGGCTTCTCAGCCATTCGTCTGGGAGCTGCCGTGCGGAGGTGGCATGGCCGAGTCATCAGTCTGGAAATGGATCCTGTTTTCGCTTTCATAGCTCGAGACATGGTGGCTCATGCCGGTCTCGAGGAAGTTGTGGACGTGCGACTTGGACATAGCGAGCTCTGCCTTGACAAGCTCGATGCGGAGTCGTTTGACGTGGTGTTTTTCGACCAACGCGGGTCCCGCTTCCTGGAAGACCTGAAGCAGCTGGAGAAGTGTGATGCACTGAGAAGGTCCACCGTTGTGGTCGCTGACAACGTTCTGAAGCCGGGTGCGCCCAGCTTCCTATGGCATGTGTGCTCCCGGCATTCCAAACCGTGGAGGACAGTTCTGGTAGAACTCCGGGACTTTGGCACTTGTGGCGTGCCGGATTGGATGTCGGTGTCCCAAAGGCAAGCGGAAAAGGCTGCGGAGACGGACAGCGTACCTCCGGACGTGATCCGGCACTTGGCATGGCAGGCAGATGAGATGCGATGGAGATCTCCGGCTGCCTTAAAGCTAGTGTCATTAGCCGCCAGGGTAAATTTGCTTCCTAGAGTCCTAGAGAGTGGAAAAGCGCTTCTAGTGTCCAGCTTCCGGCCAATGAGAGTCACGCACGGCTTGCCAAGGAAGTATCGACTACGACGTAACGCCTCAAGAGTGGACGGAATTTGCCAAGTACATGAAGGCATCATTGATCGCCGCCGCTCGGTTAAAATCCGCGGGATGCTGTTAGGGAGGCTGTGCTTCCTTTGTGTCTCCGAGGCCGGGCTGGATGCTGAGCTGCGTGAGCTGTCTGCTTTGCAAGGCTGGCTGGAAGCCTCGGAGCAGGAAGCAGGTAGTGCCGACGGAGATGCCGGCCAATGGGGTGTGGCAGATTGACCTATCGCAGGGGAAAAACGGCATTCCTATGGCGTCTTAAGAGTTTATTGGGATCAGCAGTGTCAGTCGTTGTACATGTGGGATGTCATTGCAGGACGCCCGCTCTGTCGATGAGCGCGCTCGCTGCGAATTCAGATGCCGAAGGAGAAAAGCCTCGTCTGCACAGAGCAGAGAGCAGAGAGAGAGACCTGCGATGCGATGTGAAGGGTGGGGGGGGGGGGGGGGGGGNNGGGGCTGTATTTGCTGTCGTGTGCATGGCCATGGCGGCCCTGGCACTGCCGTGGCAGGTCCCTCCGGACGTTACGCTGATGGAACGGGCAGTGCTGGATCTCAACCAGCGGGAGCGACTGAATCTCGAAGTGGGGCACGGAGTGATGCCGGAGTGTTGTGAGGACTTGTGGAACGGCCAGAACCTTGATGCCAATTCATTGCTGGCACTGCGGTGCCTGTCGGAGGACTTTCATTGGCCCACGTGTTGTATCCCTTAAAAAAATCAGCACTGCAGGAGCAAGCAATGGACCTCCTGGGGTCTTTATATTCCAAAGGCTTCGAGCCATGACCGGTGTTCTTAGCACCAACCAGTTGCTGCTCAGCCTTGCCGACCAGGCACGGGCAAAGGTGGAGTGGGAACCCCAGCTTCTGTGCAATGCGCATGTTATGTGCAAGAGATGCCCGGATGGAAGTCAAGTCTCAAGAGGTGAGCATCTCCAATCCCAACAACTATCTCCAGGTGGCTGCAACACTTGCCTGTGAGTGTATCCTTCCGTGTTTTTTCTGCAGGCAGCTATTGCCAAGATTGTGCGGACGGGCCCAATACTCGAAGTTGCCCCGAATCGCTAAAGCTTGCCGCAGCTCTTTGGGTTGCTGAGGAATGTCCAGCGGCATGAACTTCACCGGAAACCAGACGAGGCGATGACGTGCCGAAGAGCGCCAAGAGACGGAGGAACGTCCGAAGCGGTGCGAAGCGCTTCAGGCAGAAGGCTGCCGAGCTCGGGCTTTCCCTGGAGGAGTGTCGTCGAAACGTGTGTGCAGCGAGCAGCTCGCAAGTCCTTTCCTAGGATCTGACGCTGAAAGCGCTGGCTCGCCTTCCCCTTCGCTCCTCTGTGAAGCTGCTGGAGTCGGCAGCTGCAGCACCTGTGCTGCATCGATGTTGTCGACATGGGGTCAAGCTCCGACTGCATGTTTTGGCAAGGCTCAGATGGGAGGAGCGGATCCCAATGCCGTGATCATTGCGGAGGATTGTGCGAAGTTCGGGCAGGGTCAACTGAACTCTACCCTGGTTCAGATTTGTCCGGCTTGCACTGTTCTTCTTCAGTGACTTTGCAGTGCTTGCGCTGTTGAACGGCCATTCTTGATCAACACATACATGCCTTCTTGCAAACTTCGGGGGGCTTGGCTGTTGGCGCGGCTTAATTCAGCATCCAATTTATTGTTTGGAGCGTCCCGTTTGTAAGACTTCCGTCGGACTTGAGCAATTTCTCGATGCCGATTGTGTATTGGGTTGGTGCACACATACCCTGCACTCCCATGTGTCCGGCGATTCTGTTTACCATGAAAAGCCTTTGAGACGGTCAGCCTTGCCTTTCAGCTCCCCGACCAGCACCCCCAGAATGCATGTCAGAACTTGTCAGCCACAACTGAACAGGCACATGACGCGAATGTTGCTAGACTGCAGTCGGGAGAGATCCTTAACTTGTACACGTATCGTCTGCAAGCCATAGGGGTTGGCATAGTCGAAGAGTCCCCAGAACTATTGCAGCCACCGGTGTTGCGGGCTGGCCATGCTGTGCTTGCCATAGGACCCAACAAGTCTCTGCCGTTAAGTTCCTTGTGCCTTGTGCAATAGCTGCCCTGTGCATGACAGGCCACCATGCTGGAGGCACAGGCGCGCTGGTCTTGTGAGGCGATGTCTTAGCAGCCGTGGCACGACAGTTGCCTTGTGACAGGACATCTCGCGAAAGAGGCCGCGTGATGCTATCTAGTTCGGCTGCTCGGCCAAAAAGCGGTGCAAGCAAGCATGATCTGCACATGTGTGACTGCTTTCTCGTGCATGTGCATGCTCTTGTGGATTATCTTGCGCTGCGGCTTTTCAAGGCGACCTAAGAAAGCATGACAAACCAACAAACATGTAGTAGCCACTAGTTCAAACGAGACAGCTGAAGCAAGCGTAGCAGCGCGAAGGGCGTTGCCGTCTCACACCATGACCGAAAGGTTGCTCAAAACTGTGCTTTAATCGGTGGGACCAATGTCTCCGGTGCCTTCGATGGAGCGATCGCTCGTGCGGCTCATTGGCCCAGTTCTCATCCTTGCCCCACTAGCTCCTTAAGTCAGGGAATGTCGTGGGAATGTTTCTGAGGACGGCCAGGGGACGTGCTGCATTCTGAGCCGAGACACGCTTATCCCATGCCGGCCATACTGTCATAGTGAATTCATGTGAACCTCTTCAAGGCCCGTGGCGAAGCATGTCTTGGCGAGAGCAGAGGTGCAAAGCTGTGCATCTTTGGGGCATGACAAGTGGCTGAAACATGTTGAGGCAAAGGCAGGTGGGCTGTTGACATGTCTGGGGCAATACACTTGTAGGCTTTTGAATGCCTTTGGACTTCAGAGAATCATAGCGCGATCATGATGGCGAGTTGCAAACGAGCAAGTATGTGCTGCAGGCTCGACACCTTCAGCAAATGAGCGACCCACTCATGTTCGAGCCTCCGTTGTACATGGTTGATGCTTGCTCTCGATACCGCAACACTGTGTGCACACTGCCTTGTCTGGGAAACTTTGAGGTGCCAGGAGCAAACTGCGATTGCGCAAACCTTCAATGAAGAGCGGTTTCAGGCTCCTGCTGCTGATAGAATCCATGTCGCCAGCAAAGCCTCGCTTGCGCTACAGGAGTGGGAGGACAGACTGAAACATGAGCGCGCCAGGGCGAAGGCCAGAATGGTTCTGCGCACCATGCCAGAAAGTACTCGTCTTCACATGTTGTTGTCGCCGTGGTGAGACTTTGGCTTTCGAGGGTGGGTGTATCGGTTTGGAAGTTTCATGTGAAGGTTGAGGAGCAGAAGCAGATCATTGTTGCGAACGGCCGAGCTTCAGTCAAGCGGGCAGCCGTTTTGCGAGTGGCATTCCCGTCTGCTTGGTGATTCACTCATCCTGAGTCTAAGGCAGCAGACATCGCTCAGGCAGTGGTCTTTGCAGACGAGGCGGGCCCAACATATACCACTCGCCCAGCGTGTTACATTCCGGGGCGAGGCGCCGTTTCTCTTCCGCTTGCAGCCGGCACCTCTGAACATCCGTCACGGCTTCCTAGCCGATTGCAGATGGAGTGCTTGCTGAAAGCCATCCGTGCCGCAGAATGTCCAAGCATGTTTGTCAGGAAAGTTATGGGCCGCACAAGTCGAGGTCGCCGCCTCAGCATGTCAATCTGCGGTTCGGTGGTGAGTGTTCTCATAGCGTAGTCGGGGTCAAGGCAAAGTCTCAAGATCCTGGTTTCGGTGCTAGTGTGCTAGGAGTGACCTTTCGCGGCTCTAACGCACTGAGCTCAGGCAGCTCCAGAAGCAGAAGCCGAGGCGGGCATCCGAGTCATCCGAGTTCGGAAGCGCACGGATCTTTGCTTTCAGGAGGTGACAACGAGAGCACGTCAGATGGAAGTAGCGACAGCGAGGCGAGGCTGCAGAGACGCCTTGCTGGTGCTTGTTTCCGGAGCTCAGGCCGAGTCCTACTCTGTCTCCAGCCAGGACGGGATGTTGGGCCATGACGGTCTCAAGGGGGCTTTCAGGTTGAAGGGATACAGGCCTCGGTCGGGGCCTTGGCCTGGGAGGCTGGGTCATCAGACGAACCCAGCCCAACTTGCTGGCAAGGGCCGGTTCTTTTCGGATGTCAGCACTTGCAGGCAGTGTCGTTCTGGCCCAGGACTGAAGACTGAAGAGAGTAGTGGCACTCTTCACAAGGGGTCGTTGCTTTTCCAGATGAGCTGCTGATGACGTGGGCTCTTTCGGCGATGGACAGTTTCCGTTGCACCTTGCCGGGCAGAGCGCCTGACGTGCAGCCGCTGCGGCACAATGTTGAGGTGGTTGAACGTTATCTGGATCTGCAGGGCGGCGTCAGAGGATCTGGCAGATGAGGCGCCCGACCCTGTCCGGAAAGACTTGCAGGGCTTCTGCCCCTACCTGCACGAGCTGCCTGCAGCATTTACCACCTTCTGGCATCAGCTTCACGGGGCAGCCCTTCTTGTCGAGCGCCCGGGCCGCAAGCTGAAATTCACCCCAGCACCAGTCACAGTCACCAAGGCAGCGTGTGCAACTGGAGGAAGCATCCCCGGAGGGCACCTCCCGCGGGCTTTGCCTGCAGCTGGCCTTGTTTCGTCAAGTGGTCTCTGGAACAGCCGGGCTTCCGTTCCTGCTGCCCGGCTCGGAAAACGGCTTCGGCACTGCTTTGCTGTTGTGGCAGATTCTTTCGTGGCTTCGAAGTCACCGCCCAGGCAAGTGGCGAACAGCTGCCCAACTTTGATTTCTAGCTACTTCGAATGGGCGAGCGAGCTGGCAACCGTGCAGCTACAAGACAGATGGGCAAGGTTCAGAGTATACTCAATGTTCAGGGCTGGCCCAGGATAGCAGTAAAGATTGAGGCAGTGCAGGCTGGACAGCCGCGGCGCGGGCGTGCGTTGTTGCAGCTTGGTGCGCCGATCCGCACCATGGCCCTCTCGCGAGCACTCTTCCGGCAGCCCGGCTAAAGCTAGCTTCTGTTAGTCTGCTACGCTTCAGAGAGTTTCTCGGCTTAAGACCGTGTCATGGCTTCAGAGGCCGGATGAGACAAGGGCAGCAAAGGAAGCTCAGAGACCTCACTGCAAAAGCATCCTTTTTGCTTTCGAGACGTGGTGTAGCCACGTCGCTTGGCGGTGAAGATTCGGGGTCCGGACGGCGCGGAGTCAGGAGGGCAGTCACGGGAGGAGAGACAGGGTCAGACAGCCGTTCCTTTCACTTGCGAGTGCAGGAGTACACTTTCCACGAAGTATGCTTCGAAGCTCCGCGATCTACACATGAAGTATGGTCTGGAAGAGAAAGAGTGGCAAATCGTCGACACAGACCATCAGAACTGGGTGGTCGTGCACTCCCTCTGTGACTCGAACTTTGCCGGGGGAAATTTGGAAAACGTGACTTTTGGCATAACCGAACACAACCACAAGTCTTATGCCGAGAGGTGGGGTTATGAGTACACCATGCATACACAAACTCCTTTGGCAGAAGAGGAGCCCCAGTTCGGAAAGCTTCAGATTGCGATCGATGTGCTCAGTAGCGAGAAGCCTCCGGACTGGTTCCTGTGGCTGGACTGCGATGCTTTGGTGACAAACCGCTCGATCTCTGTGGAGTCCTTGCTCCGGACTTATCAGCTCTCCGAAAAAGACTTCGTGGTGGCGGAGGAGGTCTCCGGCATCAACTCCGGTGTGTTTCTGGTAAGAGGCGGCGCAGAAGGGCGAGGCCTCCGCTTTCTGGAAGAGGCTATGCAAAGCGACTGGCGCTTCGTCTGGGACCAAACCATGCTTCTACAGCAGATGGCGCGAGAGTCGGACCTCTTCGGTGCGACGATGTGCTCTGACGCTGCTTCGGACTTCCGGTGGGCACCTCACTTCGGCCTGGTGCCTCAGCATGCCAAGGGCCTCAGTTGTCTGTCTGTGAAATTTTCGGCAGAAGAGACTTCTGATTTCTCTGTTGTGTCTCGAGCACGGCAGTGTGCAGAGGCCATGAATCTCTACGGCGAAGGCTCTGCGCTGCAATGGGGCGCTTCTGCTTGGAAGCCGGGTGATTTCATCTTGCATTTGGCCGGATGCCCATTGACTGAATCCGAATGCCATGGAACCTTCGAGGAAATCGCGGCTTGGGCGGAAGCGCACAACTAGACTCTGACTTTGAATGGGCTCCGGCGTTAGCCTGCGGCCTGCCGCAGTGCTGATCCCGAGCTGTGCAGAAAATGCCTGAACCGACAAGACCTTGAGCTGCTCGCGTGACAAATGGCCTCGACTCGATTCTCTTCAGGGAAGTCTTGAAACTTCGAAAGGACTTAAGGGGCCCATGCTGGCAGGAGCCGGCTTCCATGCTGTGTGTGGAGGAGAAGGCGGAGAAGGCCCGGCACAAGTCACTCGTGACTGAGACGAGGAGCTCTCTTGCAGATTGCTGTCGGCTGCAGCCACTTGAGGATCAGAACCACGGTAGGTCTTTCGTCATGCATCAGTGCCTTTGAGCTCAACGCGTCGATTACTGTACAGAGCACTTGAGGCAAGAGGTCTACACCCAAAACAAATTCGAGAGTTGTGCAAGCATCAGGCATCGGATGGATTATTGCCGCCGAGACCACGAGACGGCGGAAGCCCACGCAGCCCGGCTGCTGGAGATCTTGCGAAAAAAGGATGCAGAGATGGAGGCGGTGGAGCTGCAAACCGCCGACGTGAACGACGGCCTGGAGGATGGCCAGGGCCAAGGCCAGGGCCAAGGGCCGCCGGGGGGCCTGGAGCAAGTCGAGGCCATGCTCGTTGCAGAGTCTGAGGGGCGACAGAACCCAATGGTTCTGGAGCTGTTGAAGGATCTGCAAAAATGTGCAGTGTATACAGACGCGCCAAACCATGAGACGAACCGTAAGCTTTGGGATGCCTATGCCCAGTCTTGGAGTTCGGACGTGGCGTGGGTGCAGCGCATGTCAGGCCATGTCTCCAGAGAAGCGGCTGCCTTGAAGTTCGTAGGAGATGAGTGGTCGGATGTTGAGTCTCTCGATGCCGTGCTGAGTGACTGGCTCTACCCACACCTGGAAGATGAGCAAAAGCTCAAGACGGTCGCCGAGGTTGGGAGCGGCGGCGGGCGCATTGCCGCGAGGGTGGCTCCCAAGGTCGAGCGCTTGGTGTGCTTTGACGTGAGTGAGGGCATGCTGGCACGTGCAAGTAGCAGAATTGCTGAACTTGGGCATCGACATGTGGAGTTCCAGCTGGTTCATGGTGGTGCACCTTACCCGGAGGAGTATCATACATTTTTCGACTTTGTGTACTCCTTTGATGTCTTCGTCCACATGGACCTGCACCAGATGAGACAAACCCTGCATTGCGTCCGGGCCATTTTGCGGCCAGGAGGCTTGTGCTTCATCTCATTCGCTAACTTGCTGGCACCTGACGGCTGGCAGCGATTTGCCAAGCAACAGAAATACAGTGTGGGAGGCTTCTACTTCGTCTCTCCAGATATAGTACGTTGCTTGTTGACACATGCCGGCTTCAGCCTGGTGAGAATGTCGAAGCCACAGGCAGGAAACACATACTTAAATCGGGATCTGCTTGTGCTTGCCCGCAAAGCTTAGAATGGCTTTGTGGGTGCTGTGCGCCAGAGCAGAAAAGGGTCAGCTGCGCGGCCCGGTTTGCGCGAACGGCTCGTGTCTTGCATCGCATCGCAAGAGACATGACCAAGGGTGTCATAATTACAGCAAGCGGCAGTCTGCAAGGCCGGTGCAGAGCTTTCTGGCCGCAGTGACAAAGCCCTGGATGAAAGCGCGAAGCAGGAAGCACTGCAGGCGCACTTGAGCTGCCCATCTGCACCTGGGCCACGTTTAACCCCCGCACTGCCGGTTATCGGTTGCTCTGAGGATGGCTGGAAGAGAGCCGTGCAAAGCTGCAGGAGAAGCTGAAGGCTCACACAGAGCAAGAGTTGGCTGTTCCCGCCTCGGGGGACTGGTCGCGCTGGCCGCTGTGCTCGTATTTTTTGCATTACATGTGTCGGCTGAGGAGAAGGATCCCCCGATGGAGGATGGTCCACCTGACACAACACCCGTATACATTTAACGGTCCCAGCCGTGCACGCTCAGATCGTGAGAAGGTTGTCGAGGACCTAGTGTAAACCGTGTAAGTAAGCCCTCCGTTTCCTTTGCAGATGTTCGCGTGTTTTCGCGTGCACGGCAATGCCCACTTTTCCAGCCGCCTCTTCGTGGCCTGGCTGTTGTACAAAGCCCCTCGTCCCCTCGCCGCCCTCACATATGTCCTTCACCTGCTACCGCGCTGCTATGCCTTCTGCAGTGGCGGAAGTTTGGCCACCTGCTTTAAAGCAAATGTTTTAGGTGCTGCCAGTCCCGAGACTGCTGTGTGGCAATCACAAGCTGCTGTGGTCCGGAGCCTGTCCGTGCATACGGTGCTCTTTCAGCAAGATCCCTTTGAGCGACTGCGCGACTGCGCTCCGGGCCTTGACGGTTCGAGCCAACTTTCAGCATGCCTGCGAAGTCTATAGCGTCCGTGAGATGCAGAGCCGTGGCTGCAGCGACCTCAGCTGCAGGGAAGAATCTTCGCAGTCTGTGTCTCACACCAACACAAATCCGAAATCCTGCAACAAGATATTTGGCATGCCTCGCGATTGTCTAGGTGGTGGCTCTGCTTCGTGCAGCCGAAGTTGTGGCCTCGGTCACCTCGGTTCTGCTGCTTTTTTTTAGTGGAGGTAGGGGAGCATCAAGCCACGTAGAAGCATTGTACGCCAGACGTCGTCATGGCTTGTCGCCAGGCTTCGGCCCAAGTAGAGGTGTAGGTCGTAGCGTCGAAGATATCTGGGCACTCCCTGAACGCCGGTGACAGACATGTTCTGCGCCTGCTGTCAGACCGAACCTACCCCAAAAGCTGCTCGGTCGCACTGTCTCAAAGAAGCCTGACCCGGGGTTCGTTTTGTGCGTGCTGCTGTACATGTCAGGTTGTAGAAACCGTGGGTATCCCACTGAGTGTGTCCACGGATGACGCTGCTGCTGTCTGTGCCCGAGTTTGTAGGGGAGCACCTTGGCATTGCTTGCTGCATTCCGTACTCTCATCAAGGCATGTGAGAAGTTAAGTCGATCCGCAGCCTTCGTTGCTTGCAGGCGGCGACTGTCGAAGATGAGGCTCCCACGGATGCTGTGCCACGGTGTTTGTTGCAAGTGCTGCTTTCGAACACCGAGATGTCAATTTGGGACACCGTTGTGCCCAGCTGCTTCGTGAATGTATGTTTTGGCATGTGCCCAACTTCTGCAGGGTGCCGTGTTCACATTCGAGTTGCCGGACAAATCGACCAAGGCAAGTCACAGAGAAGTAGCAGGCCTTAAAGAGGCCCTGCGCATCGGTGCGCTGGTCGGTTGTGCTTTGGGCTTTGGGTGGACGTGGGTCTGACCTGCGACCGCCTCTAGTGAGCCCGGTTCGGGTGGTTTTTGATCCATAGAACCTCGAGTTCTGCATACTTGCGAGGAGATCTTTTTCCCGTCTAAGCCTTTGGGCTTGGATTTCAGCAAGTCCATTCCGATGACTGTGAAAGGTGTGAAGAAGGACCGTGCTGGTGCCGTGTTTCCGGAGGGTTGCATGCTCCAGCCGCTTTTCGAAGTTTTGAGCCTTCCTGCATCCTTGTAAAGTTTCTGTAGTATGCTGTTGATGGTCTGGTGGAAGCCACTACCATCGACGGATATCCTTTGTGCTGATACTGCAAACCTGCCAATGCTACGCCGATTCGGCAAATCGTCCAGATCATCTGAATCTACACAATCCGTGCACTTGCCGAACGTAAGTCAGCAACTAATAGGCGATATGGAGGAACAAGACAAATACCAGAAAGAAGTACTTGGAAGATCCGGCACTAGCATTGCTACAGTACTGGTGGTCACAGTAAGATTAAAATTGCGCGATATGTACCGTCAACATTACCTTGGTCGACCTTTGTTTGTCACACTCTTATCCTCTTACTCGGAGCCTTGAACCTGTAGCTTGTTTTGTCCCGGCCACTTCGTGAGGTCGCCATGCATGACGACAACCATGCTGTAGATTCGTCCCCCGTCGATTATCTTCCACTGCAGGGTACAATCACGCTGTCGTCACCCGGAAGCGGACGACACTTTTAATTTTGTGGTTCGAAATAGTTGGAGTTGTGCGGATAGCTTGGCATATCGCAAACCCAGGGGGGTGGCAAAAGCAACCGATTCTCCCAATGCCCTGCGAAAGAAAGAACGCGCAACAAAGCGCACACAGAACGACGCATTGGGCAGCTATGTGCAGATTCAGCACAGCAAAACCGGCAGTAGTACAGTTTAAAGTTTAAAGCCTAAAGTCATAGCAGCCATACATAGTAGTCCACCAAATCATAGCAGTCCACCAAGCCATAGAAGTCATATAACAGAAGACGGCGCGGTGATGGTAGGGATCATAGGAGCGATGCTTAGAGACTTCACCGCGAAGGACTCCCATGCCGACCAAGCGAATATCCAGCCGAAGTGGGTAGTGACGCATGTTCAGGGGCAGCCATTGCCGACGGAGTCACCTGACACCTTGGTAGAACTCTGGCACTGCAGATCGTCTAGGCACTGTTTGATAGATTGGCCCGTGGGCTATCGCCGCCGCCAACCGAAGACCATTGCATGCCCGCTAAGGTTTCACGATGCCATGATGCGAATCTTCGAGGTTGTCAGAGCGCTTCCGGATAAGTGATCCTAGATCTTCCAGACTTTGTGAGGGAGCCAATGGCGAATTGCCATGTTCACCATACATAATGTAGTCTAGCGTGCTCTAAGAGCAGCTGGACTATTTCATGATGAGCTTTTCGAGACACCCATGTTTTTTGCAAGCGAGTTCCACAGACTCAGACCGGGGATCAATCGAACGTCTGTCCCGCAACTGCATGTTACGATTGCTTGGCCATGGTTGCCCAGCAATACGCCACGCTGGAAAAACATGGTGAGTGCTAGATCGCAGATGGTAGATGGCCCTTGAAGGGACGAGCAGGGTACTTGGCCACAGAGCTCGCCTCATGCCGGGTTCGCTGTCCGGTTTGTCGTGACCAATCGAACTGCCAGAAAAAGATGGTAGAAGGGTTCTCATCTGCTGGTCGGGTGGACTGACTTAGAAGGCCAGTCCCGGTGCGCTTGTGTCAGGTCGTGGCATTTGAGCCTTTCGACGTCCTGCAGGTCTCTGCGCCATAGAATGAAGACTAGCCGCCGGAGGTGTAGAGTAGATTTGCCACCAGGCCATCAAGAGCGACGTCTTCCCTGACGTCTTACCCTTTTTGGAGGTGGCATCTTTCGTGTATTTCGTGTTGTAAGCAGTCCGTTTCATGGACAGGGTGTGCACTGTCCGGAGGAGAAGCGAGTCCTGTTTGCGGATGGTTTGGATCAGAAATTGCTGCCTCGAGAGGGTCGGGCGACACTGTCCCGGGGTATTAGCTCTGAGTCCAGCCAAAGAAGCAGCTCTTGTCAATGCTCGCATGGCCCCGGAGGATTGGAGGATGTGCTTGCCAGCCCAGTCGTGCCGTTCGATGATGTCGCTGAAGGACGTCTTGGGGAGACTTCAAAGCCCAGGGCGGCTTATTGCATCTATTGTGGCAGGAGATCGCCTTGAAGTGATTGTAAACGGCTCCGAAGACATTCGTCGAAGCTCCACTTGGGAACCGTGTGTGGTCCTTGCTCACGACCTGCAGACCGTTCCTCGGCAGACAATTGGCCATCGCCATGGCACTGCAGAGACGCCTCGCGCCTCGCAAGCGCTGAAGCCAAGGGCATGTTGGATTTGGAACTGACAGCTCCAAGCCCACGTGCGGGCCAGCATGTGAGGCCGCAGGCCAAGTCTGGCCTGGCCATGCCTGGCCTCTCTCGTTGAAACAATGAAGCGCCCATTCCACGGCTCAGGCAAAGCTGGGGTTTGGCGAGACGGTACCCGTGGCGCTACGACGCTATGCTGTGATATGATTAGTTACTACGGTCGTAGTGAAGGACGAATTCCACATAGCCAGGTCCGCTAGACAGCAGATGGAAGCTGTGCTAGAGCCAGCGCATCATGCCAACGCATTACCAAGGTCACGGTAGAGGAGAATGACACGATCCTCGTTGGAACTGTCAGCGGCTGGCAGCCAGCGAAAGTCCTCAGCAAAGATCCCGAAGATGATACCCTCGACCTGGCCTTCCCCAGCGGTGCCTCGCCGCGGGTCCGTCTGTGCAGTAGTGACCATGGTAATATTCGTTGTAATTGTAACAGCAACAGCAATAGTAATAGTAATGGTAGTGGTGCTTTCCTGCTTTATTGGTATTGGTCCTCATGCTGCAGACACACGTTTACAAATAAGGAGCGCAGCTGCAGTCCGTGCGGCCGCGCATTCGACACATGCAAGATCAGACTACGCGCTTTGATCAAGGCCGGGCCGGATGTATCTTTCCAGTCGGGCTATGTGCCGGGCCACATTCACGGGGTGGAACTGGAGGGCTTAAGCCTCGCACAGACAATATATTTTTCAATGCCACAGTATGTTTTTTTGATTGCTCATGTGGCCTGGGTAGTACCTGACCTCGAGTGACGGGTGGCGTGTCGTGCGTTAGCTTCCAGGTGACTCGTACAACGATGTGGCAGAAGGCGAACGCATCAAGGTGGACACCTCGCGTGGTTGGGAGATTGCCTCCGTCGTGAAAAAACATGAAGGCACCAAGTCCCTGGACATTGAAATGTTCCCGGACGGGGAAAGATTTGAAAGCTGCAAGCCTCTTATCCGAAAGCCCAAGACCAAAGCAAATGAGACTGCGTTGGCACTTTGGGCAGAGAATCAGCGGCTGCGAAGACGAATAGCCATAATGTCCAGCCTGAAAGCAATCTTCACCTCGACGGCTCTTGTACCTTGCACAGCACTGGAAGAAGGTTTGGCCTCTGTGATGTTTTATACCGCTTCCTGCCTCGGGGCCCTGCCAAGGCGAAAGTGGCCTGGTATATCGCACGCCACCATATCAATGAGTACGTGACTTGCTCTGGAGCACTTGTGATGCGCTGCGTTGTGCGATGCTGCATGCAGCGCCTGCAGCATGAGACACGTGTAGACCTGCTGAGGTACAAGAATACAAACACAATGGAATCCCGGATGATCCAGACTTTCGTGAAAACATGCGGCTTTGGGGGCTGTCGTAGGCAAGGTGGACACGTGGCACTAGCTGAGCTTTGGCGCACACGAAAAGTGGTGGAAATCCGTTGTGTTGAGTCCCACATAGTCCCACTGCATGCGTCTTACGGATGGAGACATCATGCCCTGCATTGTAGGTTTCCGCAAGGCATTTCGAGCATGTGGTCGGGGAATCTAGACTGAAGGATGGTCGCCAAGCAAGACACGTTTGCCATTTGCAGCCTCCCAAGATCAGTGCAAACTGTACCACATCATGTGATGACTACTTCGACTTTGGTAGACAAGAATACGTAAGATCGCACTTCAGCATTCTCCATTTCTCATTGGACCGCCGTGGCTGCACAGCGCCGCATCTTGAGCATGAGGCTGGTGGTTTCCGTCATCTCGCTTGCGCGTGAATCTTTGACAGATTGCGAAAGGCCACATCCTCCGCCTGGGTCGAATCGTCCTTAGCAGCGATGGCGATCAGAGCGTCAGCTGTGACCATTGCCAGACCATTGCAAATCAAGAGTCACACCAGCCAAGAGAAGACTTCGTGTCGCAGCGTGCTTGTTCTTTGCTCGCAGCTTGTCTGGCTCGGAGCTGAGCTGGGATGTAGTGCCAGCGCCTTGGTTGCCCCGACTGCAGCGGCAAAGTACCGAGCTTATCTTGGAGTCTTACAACATGGCTTCAGGCTGACACGGGCTTACATCTTGCGTTCGGAATGCCCAGTAACTTGGCTGAGGTCATGCAGGTTTTAGTGGACCACTGCTTGGGCCTTCCAGAAGATGCCATCGTCTCCGTTCGCTGTGGCGGGATGCGCCGGCAGGCTCCGCTTGAGACGCTCGTCACGCAGCCACTGAAGTTTCCTGCAACGCTGGATGGGGTGTCGGAGCCGTTGAAAATTGACGTGCTGCAGCCTATTGCTACAACGCGGTTGGTTCTGCATCCGCACGAAGAGCTCTACAGCATCGGCTTCGAGGAGTCCACCGAGATGGTGATTGGCCTCAGAATGCAGTCACAGGGCAGCCAGCCAGACAATGGCTCGGCCCCTTCTGGCCAGGAAAGCACGGGCCCTAATTTCAAGGATGCCGCTGCGTCAGCAAAGGATTACCTGGAGCAGCACGGCCTCTTGAGGTATGTGCAGTCCTTGCTTCATGCGGTCATCCAAGTAAGACCCCGCGATCCCTATGCTTACATGATCGAGCAGCTCAGTGCCGCTCAGAGTAAGACCCGAACTCTGGAGAAGCTTGTGTCCAGGCCGAGCAGTGCTCTCCCCGAGAGGGCGAGGACGCCCGTCCCACCGCGAGAGCCTCCGCCCAGCTGCTCGCCCACAAGGCCTCGGCCTCCCACGGAGCTCCTGCACGTGGGACCAGCTCCGAAGGAGCCTCCCGAGAGCGCCCCGTTGACGGGCTCCACTCGGGCCGGGGCCGAGTCCGAAGAGGGACACAGCCGCCCCGTCCGATTGCCGGAACAGGAACAGGCGCCGCCTTTGCCGCCTTTGCCCTTGCCCAGCCTGCCGACAGCTTCTTCGGAGGATCTGCGGCTTCTCCTGAAGAACAAGCTTGAGGAAGCTTACAATTCTGGGAGGCTGGAAGACGTGGTGGCCAACGCTGTAGGAGCACCACCTCAGGCCACAGCACCCGAGCCAGCTGAAGCCAAGGAGACAGAGGTCCGAGAAGTCCAAGACTTAGAAGGAAGCTCGGGCCCGACCCGAGAACTCGATGCCTTCTGTTGTCTGAAGGGCAACTTGAAGTCCGTCCTTTTCGATGCCATGGACACAGGTGCACTGCAGAACACTCTCTCCGCTGTCGCGGAAAGCCAAAAGACTCTAAAGATCAGCGAAGACCTCGACAAAGTCGCAGCCCTTAAGACGCAGCTGCGGGAACACCTGCAGGAAGCTGTCTCATCTGGTGCTTTGGGACCGGTGCTGCAATCTTATGCAAAGCCACTCCCGGGCCCACGGAACAAGCAGCCCCAAGAGGAGAGCGTGCAGGGTTTGAGGCAGAAGATGAGAGAGCTCCTGCAAGAGAGCGTCTCCACTGGCAGCCTGCAAGAAGCCCTGGACCATCTCTCCCTGACGAAGCAACTCCCAGAGCCCGCAGCAACCTCACAGAGTGCGAGTGCAAAGAAGGCTGGCGACGACAGGACGCGGAAGGCACGGGAGGAAGAGAAAGTCAGAAGCGACCTCTTCCAGCTCAAGGCTCAGCTGCTCGCGCGAGCAGAGACGGCCCTGGACTCCGGTGAGCTGGCCGGCATCCTTCAAAGCCTGCGAAAGGACTCGCCCAGCGCCAGGAATGCAGAGGTACACGGCAAGACGGGTTCAAATTCACAAAAGACTGAGGTGGACAAGGCCACCGATTCCTGCAACGATCTCTTCACGCTCAAAGTACAGATACTTGCGCAAGCAGAGGCGGCCATGGATTCCGGCGAGCTGGAGGGCATCCTGGAAAGCCTCCGGCAGCCTGCTGCGAAGCAGCAGCCCAGCTCCAGCGCCCCACAAAAAGCCAAAGTGGATCAAGATAAGGGAAAGCTCACCCATGATGAGGCAAATGCAGGTGTACAGGGAAAAGGCAAGGATACGAAGACAGAGCAGCAAGAGAAAGAGGGAAGAGACCAGGACTCCCGCAACGACCTCTTCCAGCTGAAGGCTCAGCTGCTCGCGCGGGCAGAGACGGCCGTAGATTCCGGTGAGCTGGCCGGCATCCTTCAAAGCCTCCGAAACGGAGACCAAAACCAGGGCGAGCCGGGCGAGCTGGCGGTGATCAAGAAGAAGCTTCGAGGCCTCCTGGAGGATGCGGCAGAGTCTGGCCGGCTTCAGGGAACCCTGCAGCACCTGCAATTGGGCGAAGAACCCCCGAGCGGCACTGACGACTTGGACCTGAAGTCACTGCATGCCGAGCTGACAGTGATGAAGCAGGAAAAGGTAACATTAAGCCAAACGGTGAATCAGCTCACTGCTGAGATGGACGTGCCCGGCTCAGTCGCTGCCTTCCAGGCGAATGCACCATTGTTTTTGGCATTGTCAGCTGTCAGCAGCCACTTTGTTTCTGTGCTGGATGTTCTGGCTAGAGCTCTTTGCTAGCTCCTGGAGAACCTGCTGGGTTCCGACTTTTTCCATGCCTGGTAGCATGTTTTGACCAAAGATAGCGAAGGTGCTCAAGAAAGAGAACGACGACCTTGCCAGAATGCTGAGCGGCCTGGTGAAGGAATGAAGCCTGCAGAGCTGTTCGACTGAGTGCACTTGGTCACCTGATGTGCAAAGACCCGCGGGTGGCAGAATTTGGTACCATGCTTCTTCCGTTTCACATTAGCTGAGAGGCTGAAGCTTCGGGCCAGTTTGTTTCTGCTCAACTGCGGGACAGACTCCAAAAACCGTGAAAGCATGACCGATTTCGGCACAGGAACAAGCATTGATTCTCAGGATGCCGCCGCCGATGAGGCCGATGGCGATTCGATTGTTTGGGTTCACCAGACTGGCGTCTTGGCGCAGGGTCGGCCCTCACATGCCGCCCTGGCAAGCAGGGCCAGCGCCCTGGGAAGCAGGGCCACCACTTGGCCCGCCGCTGGGGCCCGGTCCATGTGCCGGTCCGGGTCCTGGGCATGGACTGGGACCCGGAGATCCGTCGTGGCACTGGGGGCCAGGCCTGTTACCGTTGGCCTCGACCGCGCTCACTGCTTACGGCACTGCAGGAGCGAATCCGCATGCCATGGGCCAGTGCTGCCCTTGTGTTGCAGGAGCGCATGATCAGGCACAGCCGCTCCTGTATCACATCTCAGGTATCACCCGCCCCTTCCATGTCCTGGTCCAGATTGGGGCCGGGGCCCTAGAGACCGGTATGCAGACACACCATGCTCAAGCAATGCGTGGCTTTGGATGAACCAGGACATCGGGCCCTACCCGATGAGCACTGTGCTCAGACAAGGCAATGCATGTGCGAAGCGAAATGGAACACTCAATGAGGATGATGCGGGCACGGCCTATGGGTCCACCCGGTCCACATGATTTGGGGCCGGGAGGCTGCGCTGAAGACGCAGCAAGGACTTCTTACGAGCATGTTCAATCCACTCGAGCCAAGAGGTCCGCCGTGGCATGGGTTTCCGACTCAGCCTGCCTCGATGGCGAGTTTTTGGTGGCTAAGCCCGTGCCCAGCACAGGCATCCTCCGCCCATGGGTCCGGGACCAGGCCGGTGTCGAGCGTATGCCCGGTGACACAGGACAGGATGACACGCGGGCTTACGAAATCGTACCATGCCGGCAGTTATGCGACTCATCCCTTGTGCCATCCCCATACCCCACAGGGCACGCATGAGAAGGGGCATGTTTGAGGCGCACCATGGTCGGCGGAGGCCTTTACCCCTAAGGATGGCCAGTGTGGGAAAAAGATTCGGGCAAAGGTGTGCGACATCAACAGACCCATCAACAGAGACACTGAACTTTCAGTGAATAGCTCATGCACCCTGCGCCTGCCAATCCTACACATGCCTGTCATTGCTGGCCAAGCCTTTGGCAGTAGCTGCTCGGCACCCCCAAAAGTACAAAACCGTTTTCGGCAAGCCACAAGCATTTCCAGACTTTCAGGCCATTGTTACCACACTTCCCACCGCAAAGCGTCCGTGAAGCCCGCCATTGGGCGGCACAACATGTGCCACACAAAGTGCGCATTGCAGATGAAACCTGCGGACGGCTCCCCCTTTAACTGGCTGTGCTATGTCCTGATCCAATGCCATGAAGAAGTGAGATCGATGCAAGGCTATGTTTGCATGATGAAACCCTGATGAATTCTGAGTCTTTGCCAAAGTGTAGTGCTGTATGTGTAGACTTTCAAAGCTTGATGCGTTGTGCATTTGGCACTAGCTTTCCTCCCTTTGGGTGAGCCGTCAAAGACCCAGGCACGTTCAGGATTGGGCGGGGTATTTGGAAGGATCGCCAGGTGAGCTGAGGTTGTTCTCCACGAGCTTCAGCCGGCTTCAAAAGACTCGCTCGTAGTGGAAAGGTTGGAGGATGGGTGCAAACACCTCCGCATGCACACCAACTCGTCGAAGTGTTTTGTGCCAATTTTGCTGAGCTGCTTGCGACCTGACAGGCTGCCCTCCTGGCTGGCCGGACGGGCCGACACCTGAGCGAAAGCCGCAGCTCAGAGGCGCTCGCTCGCTCGTGCATTGCTTGAGGCCGGACAGGATGGGGATGTCGGATGCAGGCAGATGCTAGCAGAACTCAGGGAGACGCCGTGGCCGCATGCCGCATGCCGTGCCCTGAGGTCGACCTCCCTGGGACCGATCTGAGAGGCTCCAAGAGCTGGCGGGAGAAGAGAGAGTTGGTGGGACGATTCCCGGTCCAGGCCGATGCCGATGATGGGGGGTCCGGCCCCCCGTCCTCACGCCCCAGGCGGTCCAAATGGTCAATGGCACGGGCCTGTGAATCTTCTGTTTCATGTGCGAAACTTCCTAAGAAAGCCGTGCTGAGGCAAGGGCCACCGATGTACCCTCACGATGCAGGAGAGCTACACTCGAGAATGGAGCACCGCAGCAGAGATGAAGCTGCGAGGACCTGATGCCTTTCGACCTTGGCCGCAGGCTGACGCGAACAGGCCATCCGGTGGCTTGAATGTGTCAACAAAGTGAGGAGCATTGTGTCCGCAGGCCGATGATGGCTGGCCCACCGGACGGTGTAGGTGCCTTCTCTTCCTTTCGTAGATGGACATTCACGCAGAGAAGTGCTTTGTTCGGTGGAAGGCTACCACATGCCAATGGGGCCCGACGGGATGCCAAGACCGCCTGCAGGCCCAACTCGCAGCCGTGCGCCGTGCGCCGTGCAGAGAAGCATTTCAGCTAGGCCCAGGCTGTCCTGGTCCTTGGGATGCGTGCAAGCCTCGGGTGGAGACGCAGCAGCCCAGCCTTTCCACGGGCGCCCATGCGTGAGAGGCCATTGCGCCCTTTTGCTCCACCAGAAGGCACTTTCTGGGAAGGGTTGAAGATGATTGAACGCCTTGGGCACTCGTGCTCGCCAGGTGTTTGGTCTCCCAGACTGGGTTCGATGCCACGGGATCCTATGCTGAACCGTGCCTTGCCAGCAGAAGCGGACGTTTGTTTTGTTCTGCGCGGCCAGCATGCTGTTGTGTCGCCAGGGCCAGGGCCAGGGCTCTTGGAGATGAGTTCGAGGTTGGGTCAGCCACAAGCGCGGGATTTCAAAAATCCGCGACGCCGCCGAGGCCGCCACTTGGGACGGCGCCGGGCCCTTTTGGACCTCTTGGGCCTCTTGGGCTCGGGCCGCCACTCCAAGCAGGGCCAGCTCCACCCCAGGCAGCGATTCCGTCTCCGGCACAGGCACAGTATCCCTGCTTCTTGCCTGACAGGCACATGGTCAGCCTCAGCTCCAACCACGCTTCGGACCTGATGGACAGGAGATTATCGAGAAGCCACAATCTCATCCCCAGCCAGGCCGTGGCATCTTAAGCAGAAGGTACAGAGTGACATTACATGGTTCCTCAGCAGGTGCTCCGGTCTGGGCGGCAATGCCTGGAGGGCCGGGAGGCCACATCAGTCATTATCTCTACCGTCAGAGAGTTTATCATTCGGACCGGCAGGCGAAAGCATACGGCCTGTAGTGCCCAGGCAGGGGCAGCTGCACACCATGCATGCCGCCCACGGCCCACGTCTCCATCTCTCGTGCTGTGAGGCTCGCGCTCGAAGCTTCCATTCCAAATGCCCCGATTCGACACGCGGCCGTTCCTGCCGCGTTTTGTCCTCGATACTTTCAGCTTTTGTTCGCAGTGCACCTTCGGGGGGGCATGGATGGGCCACGGTCTAGGACAGCGGCAGCTGGCGGCCTGCAGAAGCCTCAATCCGCCGCCGCCGCGCGAGCAGCAGAAGCCGCCGCCGCAGACTCTTCCACTGAAGGAGAGGGGTGCGTCGCCTTTTTGTGCTCTTTTTTGATCTTCAGGTGCCCGTGGCTGGGGCTCAAGAGCAGCTGCAGGAGCCAGTGGAGTCAGGCCCGGGGAAAAAAGGTACTTCTCAAAAAGCCCGCCTTCCGAAACCTGTGAAGACCTCCTTCGATAAGTATCGCTCGACGCAGGAAGGCCAGAGCAAACGGGGCCAGAGTGGGCTGGGTGGCTGACTTTGTTTGAGCTTGGCGTTTGTGTGGCGAGTTTAGTCGGCAGTGGTTCTCGAACGCCCAGGTGCGACCAGTCACCAGCAAAATCGACCAGCTCGTCCCGTGAAGGAGGCACTAACAGCCGGCACAAATTAGTGTTTTGGGAGTGCAACCCTCGTTGTCGTCCGGTTTGAGAATGATTGACAGGTCCAGACGCTGCCGGCCGCATGCTCAGACTCGTCACATCGTCTGCGCAATTTGGGCGAGGCACTCTGTTTCTGCCAAGGCCAGTCGGAGCAGGCGATGCCTGGGCGAAATCGTCACACTCTGTGAAGGGTTGCGATGGCTCGTCTTGCCGGCTTGAGGCGGAGGAGAAAGCCTCGCTTGCCCTAGGCCCTTTCTTTTGTTCACATGAGCACACGAAGTGCGATGGGTGGGTTTTGGGAGGTGAGGAGAGGCGCAAAGTCGAGGATGCAGCTGCAGAGGCTGCCCAGGCCACACTGACCTTCAACTCGCTTTGGACTTCAAAGAGCCTCTTTTCGTGGGCTCGTGTGCAGGCACTGCGGGCCATAGCTGCAGAGGCTGAGGCCTTCAAAGGATCAAACGTTCTCGTGACGTGCGGAGCCGGTTACTATGCTTTTCAGACTGATCAGGCTCGGGTCCAGGCAGAGCGTCAAGCAGCAACCGCTGAGGCCGTCAGCCAAGATCAGGTTCTCGGGCTGACTTTTGGAATGCAAGCCCCTGAGCCCTCGCAGGTCTTGGCGCAGAAGGCATGCCACGATGAGGCAGCATACGCAGAGTGGGGACTTGACGAACTTTAGCAACTTTGCATTCGAGCATTCACGCAGTCCAAGGCGATGGCTCGGATCCAAGCCGAGCTCAGCGAACTGAAGGCGCAGGTCCGAGAGAGATTGCACGACCCTGTGCTGCCTGTGCTGCCTGCGCTCTACGCTTTTCTTCGGGGCCGCTCTCTGCAGGCGGCAGCTCGTGAGACTATGGAAGCTTCGCTCACCGGAGCTGCTGGAGCCACGGCGCTTCTCCCCTTCTCAGCCCTTTTCCATCGATACCCTCAACTGTAGCAAGGCCATGGCCCGGATCGAATCGGAGCTTGCAGAGCTCAAAGCCGAACAAGCGAAGGCGAGGGTGTTTCCGTTTCCTGGCATCCGTCCGTGACGATGTGGAGGCCACGGCTCGCAGCGTGGAGACCATCCCGTTCCCGGTGCAATGCGAGCAGCCGGAGCAGGCGACCTCTCCTTCAGCGGCTTCGGCACCAAGCCCGGCCGCGACCTGAGCAACGTTTTCCTGTTTGTTTTTTTTTTTCAACTTTGAAAAATGGCAAAAAACACAGGAGTCGGGAGATTCGATGTGATGTGCTCCCAGGAAGCCTCCGCAGAGGCGATCAAGCCAGTCCCTGAGAAGGCCGGGGCCGCCGCTCCCTGAAAAACGTCGCATCTTCCATCAGTGGTCCATCATTGGTCCATCATGTTTCGAAGAGGCCGCAGAGACACCCAGATCGTCTTTGGAAAAGACGGTAGTCCGCACCTGATTTTTCTGCCGCAATGTACCGTGTCTTGCAGTGAAAGAGTGGGCAGTTTCTCAGGGTCCAGGCATGTGTCGGTCAGACATCTTGCGACTCAGATCATATGCGAAGAGCCTGTCGACCACAAGGGCTCGGTGGCAAAGGCTGACGTGAGCTTGGACAAAACTACAGCCAGCGACCCAGCAAGCTAAGGTTTGTTCCGCTGCAGGCGACACAGCCACTTGCTTCTGGCATGCCTTCTTATCTGTGCTGAAGAAGCCAGAGATAACCACAGTGTGCCCTTTTTGCCGCGCACGCCGCGTGTAACCCGGTGAACGGAGAGTGGCTCGTTCCTGTTGAGGTCGTGAACGATGACTGCCTTCATGAGTCTTCGGAGCGGTTGGAACGTGGGTCGATGGCCCGCGGCCTACCGGCTGGAGCGAAGTCTCTTTTCGCCTTGGCTAGCACGTCGCACTGTCCATGTCCCAGACCAAGGCCAGCTTAGATAAAACCATCGCCGCAGGCTCAGGCTCAGACCATCTCAAGCTCAGGAAGTGCTTGCTGAGTCCTCCCGAACTCAGCGGCCCAGGCTGTTGATGTGCCATCTCCCAGCAAAGTCGCCGAAACCACAAAGGAAAAGGAGTCGCCCGAGCCATTGCTTGCCGGCGGCTCTGACCGACTGGGTTTGAACCTTGAGAGCTTGAGCTTCTTGAGCTTCAGTTCGGGTCGGACGTGCTGCAAGCCGTCGAGAAAGCGCGAGCGGCGGCGCAGAGCCCAGCTGCAACACCTGGCACTTTCAATGCTGTTGTGTGTGTTGTGCACCGACTGGGGTCTTTCCAAGTTGAGCGTCAGAATCATGTTGGGATCTCTCGCCTCACCAACCCTGCAAGAAACGGGCACACATGTTGTTTGGAGCACAAGGTGGCGGAGCTGCAGCGGCGTGCAGGCATCAATCAGGACCAGGAGGTCGGAGTGTTGCAGGGTGCGCAGTTGCTCTGTCATCTGTTCAATGCATTGGCAGCAAGGCGTCAAGGAAGAAACAGGAGAAACAATCGCTTTGCACCCGGCTAATTCAGCACAAACTCCAAATGCTATCTTGTCACTCATGAGGCCAGCCTCATTGATGCAGGCACCGTTTTGCATGGACCACAGCCGCCAAGCAGAGGGCTCTAATCAACCGTCGGCCGATGGCATCTGAGGCCATGATACTGTCGGTCTGAACGTTCTTCTATCCCAGGACTAGGGGTGTTCGTAGTTCGAGTAGAAGCACAAGTTTCGTCTTAAAGCCAGGACGGGTACACTGCGACCCGCAGTTGCGGATGCCGAGAGTGCGCCCATAGTCAGCTCGCAAAGTCACAGAGCTTCCACGTGAGCTTGACGAGGTCAGTGGCCGTATGCAAAGCACCCCTGTCACAGCAGGGTGCAGGGTACTTCGAGGTGGAGGCTCACGTGCGAGCAAACGCTCTGGCTGGGAGATATGGTCCGTGTGTCCTTCGCCAAGAGGTTTGCCAAACAGTCGATGGCTGGATTGGTGGGCCCGACCCTGATACGCAATTTTCAGACGACTGCGGCAACACTGGGATCTTGCATCTAAGGCTGGGCATCGGTGTAACGCATTCCAGTCCGAGCAGGGCACCCAAAAGCTCAAAAAGCAGTCCGCTGGAACGTCCGTGCTGCTTGAGGCGATCTCAAGGAGCAGCCAGGGCCTCGGTGCATTTTTAGGTAGGTACTCCCATGAGCTCAGCGCTTAAGGCGATTGCCAGACAAAGCGTGGCGGGTACCGCGGTCATTCGTTCTGGGCTATGCAGGCTCCAGGCTCCGGGGCCGTTTCACCTTACACTTAAGATCCTGCCGGCAGGGAACAAGTACCTCAATGGAAAGGAGGGCACGGTGGACTGGCAATCGGACCAGCTGAGAGGCAAACTTGCGCTCTACCAAGCAGCAAGTTCGAGTCCTTGTCCTTGAATTTGCAGTCGGACAGCGAGTCGGCCTCCTTATCGACGGTCGGAACCTCGGACATTGAAAGTCTGCGAACGGTGAATGCAGAGCATGACAGGTGGCAGCCTCTATGTCCTTGTAGATGGACAAGAAGTGCATCCGCTCAGCGCAGCGCGGCTCGGCAGCCGAGAGTCCAACTTTTGCGGCTTCCTTTTTGAGGTGGCTTCTGTGTCGGAAGTGGAGATGCTTTCCGCCGGCCTTCGCTGGGTGCCTCAGTGCTCAGGTTCCTGAACAAAATCTGATCGGTTCTGTTGAAAAGGCCAGGATGAACCTCTCTATGGCATTGTCGACATATACAACGTGGGCCTCCTGATTTCAACTCCCATCCCAAACGATGCCCTCGTGTCAGTGCCACACAGGCTGCCTTGTCCGTGAGGTTGCTGCCAGGCTCGTTCTGTTTGGGGTTGGTGGAGACCACGTCTATGTAGTCATGATGTCATGTGAGGACATGTAGGCGCTTTCTGAGTGGGGAGGATCAAGTCTCACAAACTTAGGAAGGCGAAAGGTCCAGGCTGTGCGCTCGGAGTTCAATGCTCGAAAGGGCTTTTGTTCGCGCCAGGAGCGGTCGTGCCTCAGAAATGACGCTGGCTTTGACTAGCAGCGCCCACAAAGCTTATTGGGCCTTGCGGGGAAAAGGCGGCAAGGCCCTTGCAAGGTGATTGTGGGAACGGCGATGTTTCCACGGCTTGCTAGACGTCACCTCAAGGTTTCTTCGTACGATTGAAGCTGGAGGGCAAATGTTTAAGCATATGTCAGCATCGAGCAAGTCCAAGACTGTGCAGGCATGCTGCTCGTTGTTTTTTTTGTATTCGTTATGATGAACGCCACGAAGTGGAGGTTCATGACTTGTTCCTGGGTCAGACGAATCGTTCATGAACGAATCGTAAGGTTACGTACGTCAGACGACCCGGGCGACAAGAGGTTGCACGCTGTCACCTTCGGGAAGGCGTACGAAGCAACGGGTCAAGACCTTTTGTGCTAAGGCGAGGCTGTACATGCCTTCCTTCGCGTACAGACCTTGCACCCTCGCTTACTCAAAGAGCTTACTACAGTCAAAAGAGCTCACGTGCTCCGTTTCGACCAGTTTCCAACCTGTGGCCGTACCACTTTTTCTCAGCTTGGGTCTCCGGTATGCCTGGTCGCCTGATGACAGCGTGGTCCAAACCACTGTTATACTTGTCTTGGAAAGCTCGTGGCACAAGTCATATCATTTCATATCCGATGCGAGATGCACTATACTTAGTCCGTCTTAACCATCGTAACCCCCAGTGCCAACATACTCAGCTACATGGGTCAAATGCTCCTTGCGTACCCGTTTTCTCCCATCGGCCTGTCCGCAGAGACCTGATGGAACAGCAGGATCAGGCGAATTGAAACGTTGTTGTGGGGTCTCGTGCCTTCTGCTTTCCTTTATTCGGTGCTTGATCAATCTCAAACCTTGGTACGCAAGTCCTTGTTTGGAAGGTCCGTTTCAAGTTGCTCTGATGGATGGCGGCCATTCCGCACCTGAAAACGCAGTTCGGTCGCTCGGCAGGATGTAGTCAAGTTTACCAACGAGTCTGCGGGCTAAGCGCATGGAAAAGCCACGCAGGTACTTCGCCGTCATCGGTGCACACGATGAGGGAGCATTGTCGGAAGTGGCGGGCTTTCGGTGTCGCGGAGCAATTCTTGAGTACGCCCTAGCTGTTCAGCCAAGGCGGGCGATTGCCTCCCTGTCCAAGTCCTTCAGCGATACCCGCAGAAGGACCACAAGGATGTCAGGTCGGGAGGGGTAGTGTTCTGCAACATGCACCGAGTTGTCGTTGCCAGCTTTCCGTAGCTTTCAACCAGTGAGGTTTCCGCCTGCCCTTGCTTCCTTCTGCTTCCCACGAGGAGGCTTGTCTTTCCGAAATTCTGGTGAACGTGTGCGGAAGCTTCCCAGACCAGGTGCCCAAGTTGCAGTGCCGCAGAAGGAGGCGCCGAAAGTGAAAGCCTCGAGCTGCTGGGCGGATGGGAATGGACTCCTGAGGTGGAGGAGACACTTCACGGTTTCGTTCTCACGAACGAAGCAGGCGACCGCTGCTTTGGGGCGGCGCTGCGCCCAGAACATCCGACAAGCGCGGACGTGCGGGGTGCGGCCTGATTATGTCCCAGGCTCTCCACATCTGGTGCTTTGACTCTTCTCGCACGCACTTGGTGCAGAGGGACGGGGTCCTGGCCAACTTCTCTTGCTCAATGCGTTGGAGGTTTGTCCTTGTGCGTGCAGGCACTGGCCGTGCTCAGTACGCAGCCGCTTTGGGGGGCGCTGCGCTCAGGGCCATTGCGAGAACCACAAAGACAAGCGGCAATTCTTTCTCACCTTCTACAGCCATCTTGTCAGGCCTTCCGTGCATTCCTTTACAGTTTGCGGTACTCCGGAAATTCTCCAGAAAGGCCCGATTTGGGGACTGGGCCAGACCAGAAACTTCCCTACCAACAAACACTGTTTGCAGGTTCGTGGTCAGCTTCGTCTCCGAGACACCGTTGCCCCCACCAGGATTCCAGGTGATTGTGAGAAGCCTGGAGAAGAGTCTTGAGAAGCCTACGTAGCCTCGTTTAAGGCTTTGAATGTCAGGTTCCCTGGCCAGAGATACCAGCGTTCGCACTGCAAAGACCAGCGCCGTAGCAGCCCGATCTGCCATGCACGCGGCGATCTTCAAGCATCTTCATGCACCTGTTTATGCCTCCCAGGAACCAGCTGCCTCTGCTTGACCTACCCGTCAGGCGAAATGCCGGGCATGAGGCGACATTAGCGACGTTGGTCCTGCTAGGTTGATTTTCCAGCAGCTCAAGCCCGAAAGTGTCGTCACGATTGTCGAGGCCGACCTGAAATCAGCTGCTCGCAGGGCAGGACAAGCCTCTTGCGCTTTGCAGGCCTTGCTCCTCGAGCATCGAATCGTTCTTCATTCCGTCTGCGACGCGCTCTGTTTTCTGCCAGTGCTGTGCTTCCAAGCTTAGTGCAGCTAGGGCATTTTGTCTTGTCGCAGTCCCGGAAATGCAGCCAGCTGGGCTCTGCGTTAGAGGATCGTGGGGCCACAACATGTAGGAGTGCAGTCGAACAGCAGACTCGGTAAGCCTGCATTGCATGATATGCAGATATTTGATGATATATGCAGTCTGCAAGTGCAGACACGGAGAAGGCAAGAGCCAGGCTTCCCAGCCGCAGCATCTCATGCTTGCAGCCGTGCCATGGCGAAAGGCAAACGGCGCTCGTCAAACTCTCGATCTCGCCGTTCTCGCAGCTCGCGGAGCTCTTCGACGTATCCACGGCGTTATCGGTCGAAGCCTCTGAGAAAGAACTCGAAGCATGCAAAACGTTCGCGCAGCCCGCGCAGCCCGCGCAGCCGTTCCAGGAGCCGTAGAAGCCGTGGTAAACATCGCCCAGTGACACCACCAAGAAGGCTTCCGCCGAAGAGGGAGACCGAGGAAGCTTCAGAATCCTCCTGCGACTCTGGTGCATCTCGCCAGTTTGACCAGCAGCAGCCCCGGATGGGAGTTCTGTATTGGGGAGGTGGCCTGGAGGGACAGGGCTGGGATTTGTCCGGCCGTCTGCCTGGTGGGTTTCCACGCATCGATCGCTATTCCGACGCTCTCGTGGACAGCTGGAAGGGTCGCATGGAGAACGCGCAGGTGACTCTGAGAATGTGTGCCTCTGAAGGGCCAGGTTTCAAGAGATACATGAAGCATTTCATGATGCTAAGCTCTCAGGCATGTGTGGAGTTTCGTTTGAGGCAGTACCACCGCTACAACACGCTCTGTCGCAGGAAGGTCCTTACGGAACGCCAGGTCATCGGAGGTATCCTAGAAACCTGGCACAAGGGGACCTCCAACTCGGGCATGCGGATCAGCAACGGAGGGGAGCCGGGGGAGCCCACCTTCCTCTCCTTCCTGAGCCGGCGCGCGCGGCGCTACCGAGCGCAGGCGCGGAGGTTAGGAGGTCATTTTGCTGCGGTCATCTTGGAAGGTGGTCAGCAAGAGCTGAAATTTGTTGCTGCTGCCAAGACGCTTTCTGCGGAGCGGCCTGCGAAGCTGAAACGGGTGCTGTTGATACTCGGAGGGCCCGATGGGATATCAGACAGTATCCGGCAACAGTTGCGGACGACACTGGAGGAGCATACGGACTTCCCACTGTTGGGAATCGCACTGCCTGGTGGGATCCTTCACTCTTATTACGCGCTGGCCACCGTCCTCGTGTTTCATGACCAGGGTTTGTTGATTCCTTATTTGGAGTTCCAGGTTGGAAAGCCTAGGCAAGTTGTGAAATCCAAGGCTCGTCCCGCCGCAAGGCCGGAGAATTCGGAATCTCCGGTGGAGGCTCCAACGGCTGAGGCTCCAACCCGAGAGACTGCGGAGGGGCCGAAGACCCAGCCGAAGCCAAGAGACGAAGCGGAAGACAAGGACAAGACGGAGCGTGCCGAAGTTGCTCCGCAGCGGCCGTTACCAGTCGGCCCGGTGAATGCGCTTGCACCGCTTGCAGCCTTGGCCCCCAAGCCTCCGCCCTGCCCGCCGCCCGCTCATCTCCTCGCACAGCGGCCACAACTGCCAGCTGGACCGCAAAGGCCAGAAAGTCCCGTGAACGGGGGGTTGTTGCCGAAGGTCCCAGGCTTGGTTCCAGCCGATGGTCCCAGGCTTGGTGCCAGCTTTTCAGCCGCCCTGTTTCCTGGTCGACCGGTCCCACCGCCTGCCTGGGCTGCTGAAAAAGCGCGTATCGACCTTTGGGGTGAGGCCGCCACAAGCTTGAGAGTGGCTGTTTTTATGGTAGTACGCAGAGAAGGACGCCAGCCGTCGGGAGACTTGTCATTGCGAGTCAGCACCACCTTTCCAAGCCGAACCACTTAGAGGTGTATGACATGTTCAAGTAATTCTAGTAGTAGTATTGCTTCTATTGCTGCTGTTGCTGCTGTTGATGCTATTGCTGCTATTGCTGCTGCTGCTGCTACTACTACTACTACTACTACTAGTAGTGTCTTGCGTAGGTATGTGTTGGCAAGCCCTCGAGTCTACTAATGAGGGTTTCTTTGCAACCCTTTTTTGTTGAAGACAGTCTGTCGGTCCAGTTGTCCTGCTGTGAAAGTAGTTGGATATTGACAAATTCGACATACTGAGCATGAGTTGAGCCTGATACCATACAAGTTTGCTTGGCCGAGGGATGCGACTCTTTCCCTCAAGAGCTAGGCTCATGCTGTTCGGTTGAGGTGATTCTTGTTTGCTTGGAAAGCTGATAGTGAGACTGGCTCTTTAGTCCCGTTGACTCTTGAGACCCCGCAGTGCTGTCAGAGGCGTGCCAAGTGGGTGACAAGAACTACAGGTGGGTGACAAAAACTACTATTACTACTGCTACTACTACTACTACTACTACTACTGCTGCTGCTGCTGCTGCTGCTGCTGCTGCTGCTGCTGCTGCTGCTGCTGCTTTTGCTGCCGCTTCCACTGCTGCTTGTATTACTGCTTCTACTACTACTATTCACAGGCGTGCCAGCTCTTCTGCTGCTGCTCACCACCACCACCACCACCACCACCACCACCGCCACCGCCACCGCAACTGCGACCGGCTCGCCGCCACCACCCTACGAATTTCGCAAATGCGACTACGCCTCCTACTACAGCAATGACCGCAGGAAGGCAATGATTGTGAGTAACACTTTCAGTCCTGCGACGACCCCTTTAATCATAAAGAACCAAGACCCTGCTTCTAAGAGGCAGTTCGCCGAAGACCCCGCAGGACCACGCCTACTATTCATGGAATGGTCTCGCATAGCTTCGCCCACTGCAAAGTCCCATCAAGCCAAGGCATGTCAGCGCTTTGCGCTTTTGGCGAGATCTTAGCTGCATGCTGAGTGAAAATGTAGTGTCTGCAGGCCTGGGAAATTTTCCATCCGCAAACCATTGACAAGATATGGCTGAGGTTGGCCTGATTTGGCCGTTGAGGCCATGCTCGCTGAGCTGGGACGGACCTGGGTGGGTGCGTTTATATGAGGAAGAGATCAACCAAGTTCATTTGTTTCTTTTCTCGAGGCCAGCCGCTGTCTATGTGCCATTACTCCCTGATGCGCGAGGGGCCAAAGCTGAGTTGATCTGCATCCAGCCACATGCTTGAGGGCAACTTGTGGCCGAGGCTTGTCGATTTTTGTGGAGCACCGCTTCCCTTCGCTGCTTGCTTAGAAAACATGCTGACGCTGACAGCATCTGGACAGCGCTTTGGGAAGGTGGCCGCTGACTCACTTTCAAGTGGTGTTGTGCCAGGTGCTTGGCATCTCGTCAGAGATGGTCCAGCGCACCAACCTCAGCAAGCTGATTCGCACAGCAACTGAAGAAAGAGTGGTCGCTGCGGGGAAACCTGGCGCACAGTAAGATTTGCAGACCTAGCCTGTATTCCCGGTGCATCTCGCGACTCGCGATTCGTACGGAGTCCACGATTGTCGTTCGATCCAGGATGGCCTGTTTGGCTCAACTCGGGGTGCGGACAAACAGAATCGGACACAATTGCCACCGAGCTCGTGAAGGGAAATCACTTGTCGCAAACAGGAACTGCTGCATCCAAAACTGCGTGTTGCGAAGAGAGTGACAGCTCAGGTGCAGAGGCTATCTGCGAGCCGCAGACTATGTTCGTTGACATTGATAGTGGCGAGATACGAGTCCTCCAGGACGCCAACTTTCCCCGTTGAGACTTTACGTTCGACAGCGTTGCAGTCAGAAGTTCGTGATGACAGGAGAACAGTATGAGCGCTATGCTCGGTTTCTGCTCGACCCGGCCCGCTGACACCTCAGACTTTGGTTCGCCTGACTCAGTACGTCCTCGCCTTTGGTTCCGGAGAACTTAACATAAGCCAGGCAGCACGCATCGAACCAGGCGATACAGCTGTTAGAGACTATGCAGGAAATGGCAGTGCCGACATTGCTTTGGGTAGCGAGGACTGCAGTACCATACGTACACTGAGTCATACACTGTACATAGCAGCTGTGTGCCGCTGAAGTAGACCGAATATCTCATGTAACGTGCAACACAAGACATGCTGTGCAAGAGATCGACACATGGTAACTACTTTGAAGCTAGATAGGGCGGTAGGTAGGTAGGTAGGTAGGTAGGTAGGTAGGTAGGTAGGTAGGTAGGTAGATAGGTAGGTAGGTAGGTAGGTAGGTAGGTAGAAGCCAAGAAAGACAGAGTACGTCTGCATTGTACATCTCAAACGTCGCGGAGCCCTTCACAATAATTACTAGTACGCTTATACCGTGACAAAACCCTGGGCTACTGATTGAGGCCCCTTCCTTCATGGAGCCCTACAAGAAACTTTTGCACGGAACTCTTTGAGGAACCTTCCCTTTTCGCGATTAAAGGCCGATGGCCATGCGAGAGGGAAAAGATTAAATGCCGATATCTTCTCCTTATGTACTACCAGTTCGTGCCATTTCCTACCCTTTTCTGACTGTTTCCTACCACCTTCTTACTATTTCCTATCATCTTATTAGTTGCTACAAGTCTGAGATTCTGCAATTTCAAGGGGGAGCACCGCCTCGTGGGACCGCGGCCTCGGCCCGCGGCGCCCGATCGGCCGCACAAGAAGCTGCCCGGGGCACCCAGGGAGGAGGGCTTGCGGGAGGTCTGGGGCGGGAGGTAGGGCTTATTGTGGAAGTCCCGTGTTCAGGCGATTGCACAAGTCCGGATGCAAAATAAGGGAGAGAGGGCAGTTTCTGGGTTTTGATGCAGGAAAGGGTATGCTTTTGTATTTGTTACACTCTTTTTGTGGGATCAGGGCTATTGAAGTCAGGGCTTAACTGCAGGGCTATCGTGTCATGGGGGCCTCAAAAATCGGGCTTCGGGGATGTAGTGTGTCATGATTCGGAGGGCATGATCGGACCCCCGAAGCGATCCCCCGACCTCTTCGCATCACTCTCAGGCTTCGGCGCCTGGACCTGGCTTTGCGTGGGATCGACTTCGAGGCATTCTGATTAAATTTGCTGTTCGCACTCATCAGTGAAGAATCGAAGATGGTTTGCTGCTTCAGCCCGTGTTCCTCGCAGCATTTTGGCTCCAGGCTAGTGTAATCGGAGCGGGCATGTGGGCAACAGCTTGTCCGAAACACGACAGAAGCTCCCAAAGGCTTGTTGCGGATTGATGTTGGTTTGTAGTTGACAGGGATGAGTGCCACCGCAGCGACCGCAGCCGGCAACGTGCTGTGAAGGACGTGACTACAATTGTATTGTATGTCGACCGTGCCACCCTCCTGTCAGGCTCCCAGCAGCCCTTAATAAGTGCGTACACCTGAAGCCATGCTGGCGCAGCTGCCCCTGTAGTCTGCAGCGGTTGCCTTGGCTGTTGGCCCAAAGAATGGCGCACAAGGCTTGGTCCAGGGTGGCCAGATGCGAAGAGCAGAGCCATACTGCAATGGGAGGTTCAAGCGGTTATCTTCGACTTGGACGGCACGCTCATCGACTACGAAGGTTCGAGCAAAGCAGAAGGGAATCTGTCAAGGCCTCTTTTGACAGGTGCATCACACGAGGCACTGGAAGCGCCTTTGCTGCGCCGTGACAAAGCCCTGTCCTGGGACCGGCGGACCGTGTGCGTGGTCATGCAAGTACAGTGTAGAAAGCTTTCGGACGTGGAGTGCAAGAGCAGGATTTGCACGGGAAGATCGTTGGAACGAAAACGGAGGATTGGTCACGAAAGATTCTGCAGGCACCCGGACAGCAGAAGCCCAAGCCCCAAAAAGCGCATCTCCATCTCAGCTTTAAGGATGTCTCAATGGATCCGGAGGCTTTGACTCCGGAGGCCTATGTGCAGGAGACGCTTTTAGTTGCTTTCGTCTCCTCGTCCTGTCTGACTCGTGGATTCAACAGGAGTACCTGGAAGAGATTAAGGCTGGGCCCAGCTTTGAACTGAGCACAGAGCATGTTACAGTTGCTTCATACATAACAGAACATAACATATAATGTGCAATATATAACATCGTATATAACATATGATGCATAATGCATAATGTATAAGAAATCCCGTAGTATGCGTACATATTGTATAATGGCCCAGTTGCCCAGTCGCCAGTCAGGGTAGCGGGTTCCGAAAGGCCTTGTACTCGAAGATCCCGGCCTGGCCGGGGACGCTGCCCCTGCTCCGTGCGCTGAAGAAAGCCGGCTTCCCAATGGCAATAGCAACTTCGAGCCCAAGGCCCCCTGGGAGCGATGTTTTCGTGAAAGCAGGGGAGTAGAGACACGTGCAAGGATATCCTTCGACGAGAAGATGAAGCACCATCAGGCAGCGTTGGGAACCTGCCCCCGTGCATGTTGAGAGATCTATGTGAGACACGGCCCGACCTCTTCATCCCGCGAAGGGTTGCCGTCCTTGCATATCAGTGGAAATACGTTGTTGCAGAAGTAGACGGGCTGGACCTTCAAGACCGCCTATGAACAAGCATCAGCACAGCTTCGGCGTCACCGTTGCCTTGGCAGGAAATCTTGGATCTCATGGATGCCGTCGTCACTGGTGATGAAGTTGCCAAGGGCAAGCCAGCGTGGCCTGGCCCTGTCTTGCGCTGAACGCCCAAAGTCCAGCTCAGCTTAGCTTAGCTTCGCTTCGCTTCGCTTCGCTTAGCTTAGCTTAGCTTAGCTTTGCTTCACTTAGCTTAGATTAGATAGATACAGAGATCGCTTGACAGATGGAGATTGATAGAGGTAGATAGAGGTAGATAGAGATAGGAAGAGATAGGAAGAGATAGGAAGAGATAGGTAGAGATTGATAGAGATTGAAAGAGAGAAGGGTGGATGAATGGGATGAATGGGATGGATGGGATGGATGGGATGGGATAGAATGGGATGGGATGCGAGGTGGGCGGGTGGGTAGATAGACAGATAGACAGATAGATAGATAGATAGATAGATAGATAGATAGATAGACAAATAGATAGATAGATAGATGGATAGATAGATAGATAGATAGAGAGAGAGAGAGATAGATAGATAGATAGATAGATAGATAGATAGATAGATAGTTAATTGATCGGATTCGATTAGATTAATTAAACAGATAGCAAGATAGATAGACAAACTGACAAACAGACAGATAGACAGTTAACTTTGTACTGAATTGCTGAACCCTAAACGACCTTCGACCTTAAACTCTCAACCTCGGGTCATCCTCCCGCTTGCGTCACCAGCCGCCTCATGCAGCCTTAGTCTGACTGAGAGATGGGGGTTCTAGGGTTTAGGGTTCTAATGTTTAGGGCTCTATAGCTAGGACCCCCAGTAACCTAGGAGTATGAAGGACTCCCTTTTTGATCTATGCTAGTTTTTTTTTTTCGGAACCTAAGACCACAGAAAGGGAAAAAAAGGGGCCCACTGGGCCTAGACAGTGTCCGGGGCTACGTACAGGTACAGACTACAGGGGGTTCTGTACTGTTTAGGGTTCCTTTAAAGGTACTATAAGAGCTCGATTAGGGTTCTTTCAAGGGGCTTTTAGGGCTTCAGGGTTCACAGTTGTGTTGCCTTTTTGGGGTTGAGTCAACGAACCGGGCGACCTCGTCTGACAGTGAGAGTTGCGCAAGCGTAAATCTGAACCCGAAGCCCTAACACAAGTCAGTGCAGTTTGGGTCCAGGTCAGCACAACAAGAAGTTACCAAGGATGAACAGCAGACCATCAAACACAGCAGCAAGAGGTCTGACCCCAGGATTTTAAAATATAAGTCGAGACTATCTCGCCAAAACGGCAGCAATTTGCAAAGTCTACCTGTGACAAGCTAGCGCTCGAGGTAGGACTTAGAGGTGTAGCGGTTCAGGGCTTTAGTCATTCGGGCTGTTAGGGTGTAGGGCTTTAGCAGCGCTCTGGGGTGTAGGGCTTCGGGTTACTACAAGTTTCCTGCGAAGGGCTTCCCTGAAGGTTCTTATATGGAGTCCCTAAAGGGGTGCAGTCAGGGTTGGATCTGCGGGTTCCTGGTGTGTAGGGTTCGAAGCCCAGGCTGAAGCCACAAAGCTCCCCTAAAGGCAGATCTGGGGCTCACTACAAGGGGGGTGGGTGGTGGGTTATGGCGTGGCGAGAGCAAACACCGATATGGAATGAGTGATATGGACTATAGGGGAATAGTGCTTCTAGCTCTTGCGACCCTCAACAAAACTTCAACATCGGTCCTCTCCTTGGCCCCAGCCCTAAACCCCTGGTGTGCTTTTCAGATAGCAGCTCGAAGGATGCTTGCCAAGAAGCGAAACCCCTGAACCCCTCAGGACTAGACGGGGGGAGTCGGTACCGCTTCATGCAGGAATGCCACTCAGACGTTGTAGAGCTTCCGAAACTTTTGGGGGATCGAGAACCCACATTGCTTGGGGTTTCGGGTTTTGGGTCTGGGTATAAGTTTGACGGGGATAACCGCCCTGCAGCCCTATTGGGATGAAGTAGGACCAGTAGGGCTCTCATTCTGAATATCAATAACACCCACATGCACACTCAAAACTACGCTGCCGCTAACCGATATTCCATACGTCCGGCTTAGTGGCCGGAGATTCCAAGAGCGAACCTACATGTTGCTTGGCCTCGTCCCTCTTCGCAACATCGGTAAACGGGAGTTAGTTTCGAACCTGTGGAACCTCACAGGGAGCCCAACTACTAGGATTCTCAATACCATACTTAATATCAACCCGTCTAATGCCAAGAGCCGCACAAGTGCGATTTGACGCATATCGTACTAGAGCTGGATCATACTATCCTATTTCTTGGTGAGGGGGCTGAAGAGGGGGAGGGGCTACCACAACCCCCAACACACTACTCCAAACAACTTGAAAAACCATCAACCACAAACGCTGCCCAAAAGCTCCAGTTGGACTTGGGAGGGAGGTCGCCGATCTCAATCCATGCCACATCACCAGCATCGCCTCGGCCCAACGATTCAGATTGCGCGGGGCCTTGCTTAGTACTTGGTCTGTAAAAGCTGTTTCATTGTCAAATTAATAATGTGTATAGTTACCACTAAGTAAAGAAAGCCAAAATACATATGGATTTGTAAGTGTGGGTGACAGAGACAGAGATACGGGGCTTTACGTACGTCTTCAGATCTTATTGCTTTCGGGTAGAGTTTTTGACGGGCTCAGTGGATTTTAGGGCATTGCGGGTTTAATCGCATCGCGGTGGTTCCCGACGATTGAAGTGGTTGTTGCTGTGGTTGCCGCTCTTGGGAGCGGCAAGTTCTTTGGGTGGTAGGCTGCCAAGAAGTTTGAAGATGATGCTGCTAGTGATGATCAGCACAACGACGACGACGGTGATGATCAGGTTCAGGGTGAGAAAAATCATACAGCGGCGATAGCTAGAACGAAAAGTTTCAAGCCTGCCGAGCTCATTCTTGAAATAGTGTCTGCAAGCTTTAGTACTTCTGCCCTCCTGCTGTGCACTTACTCGGTGATGGTGCCGAGCCTACTACACCCTACACGACCCTAAATCCTTAACCCCGAAACAGTCTAGTATCAACCTTACAGTCTTAACTCTACACCCTGAGCGCGGCAAGAGGCCGTCATCACGTCTCGGCGACGCTTTCCGCTCTTCTCTGCGTTGCGGGCCTTGCGTGCAGCTGAAGTGGGCTTGAGTCAGTCGAAGCTTTCCACGGGGAAGGGTGTATACAGGGTAAGGGTTCAGATTTTCGTGACGGATAGGTGTACGGTTCCATGTCTAGGGTTCCTAAACCTCCTGAGGGGCACAACGCCGGAAAGCTGTAGTTTGTGCTTCTGGTGCTGGCTGTATGCTCATCACTACCACGACGCCGTCAATGTGATCATCAGGGACATCCTCTGCCTGATGCTCAGGAAGCTGGTCTTGTTGTGGCAGTGGAAAGCATTCTCAAACGGGGTCAGGCTTCACTGAAGTCTCCAGGCCTTAGCGTGTAATGTAGGGGCGTTAATCATCAGAACAGGGTTTTGGGCCCCATTATACTATGAATATAATAAGGAACCCGCAATAATATAGGTAATGATTAAGGCCCGATATTAACGGAACGACACATCACGCAGATTGACGCGTCGTTTTCGAAACACGGCAACCAACATCTCGCAGATTTCGTAACGATTCGGCCGCCAGCAAAGCCGAGATGCCTGCCTAGTCTGCATGCACAAAACCCATCAAACCACGTAGAACCCTATGAAGAACCCCTGAAACCCGAGAGAATGCCGAATCTGAAGAATTAGCAACTCTTGAGGTACGGGCTGCGCGATCGGCTGGGAGACCTGGAGGCAAGGCTGGGGCTTCATTTTGGGGGTTGGCTCTCGGGATGCATAGGGCAGAGGCACAGTTGAAAACTGGTTCGCAAGAGCTCCTCCTGCACAAGCCTCTGCTGGAATTGCAAAGACCATCATCCAATGTAGGGGCTTTAATAATTAGAGGAGGGTTTTGGGGGTTCCTCAATATTTAATATAACTATAGTCTAATATACCCCCAAAACCTATTCTAATTCTTAAGGCCCCTACATTTAAGTCTAAATCCCCGGCCCAAGTCGGACGGCAGAGCTTCAGGTCGGCAGGCACAGTTCTCGAACATCTCCGAACTTGAGTCAGGGTTTTAGGGTTTAGGGTTTCCGTCTGGGCGTGCACCCGAACCCGGGAACCCCTTGAGAAACCTGGCAGAAAAAACACACTGTCTTTCAAGGACCCGACGCCCTCTCAACACTTCTAAACCACCCCTGAAGCCCAAGCCCCTACCCCTAAACCCTAAAGCCTAAGCCCCAAAAACCTTAAACCCTAAACCCTAAACCCTAAAGCCTAAGCCCCCAAAAAAAAACCGTACACACACCGGCTAGCCCCACCTGGGCATCTCAGGACAGGGGCTTCCGGGCCCCGAAACGAATCCCGAGCCAAGGATCTTTCTGAGGGCAGGTTAGTTTGGTTTAGGGTTTAGTGTTTAGGTGGGTTTAGGGTTCTCGAGACAGGCTTAAGGGCTTTTGCCTCGGGGTTTCGGGCTTATTGAGTGTGTCGAAGGCGGCCTGCGTAGGTTCCGGCGTGAATTAAACACTTACTTCATCATCTTGAGACCGACGTCCAAGATCATGCTGTTTTCAGCCTCGATAAAGCCTCTTTTCAATGATTGAAGACTACATTAGCTACTTTCAACAATGCTCTCGGGAGTTATGATCCCTCAAGTGATTTGGCCGCATTCTGCCTTTCCGTAGCTTTTCCAGAATATGCTGCACTCTTCTTGCTCGGGGGATGCTGCGGGGTTTCCGGACGGCTTCAAGAAGCCCCTAAATGGGACCTAAATCTTTACAGAATTCCTATCAAGATCATATGGAGACGCTGAAAAATCCTAGAGAAATGCTTTGAAACTCTATGGGTTTCGGATTTTGAAGACCTTTAAGTGTCGAGTTTGGGAGCACCCAGGACGACGTGCTTCGGACAGCCAGAGGATCATCCTTCCCCTGCACTGCCCTGCAACCCTGAGGCCGTGGACGGATTGAACTGATCCGTCTGAACCCTTGTAGTAGAAGCCCAAAAGTTGGAAACCCAATTGCATCAATCCTGAAGAGTAATGTATAGGGAACCCCATCAC